GAGAGAGAGAGAGAGAGAGAGAGAGAGAGAGAGAGAGAGAGAGAGAGAGAGAGACCAACTACTTTTCAAAATGACAATGCACCAGCCTCATCAAACACACACACACACATCCCAGCCTTATCAAACACATAAAAACACACATAACAGCTTCATACAAAAAATACACATACAGCACCAACCTCATCAAACACACATGCACCAGCCTTATCAAACAAACACATAAACACACAGTTGAAAGTCTAAGTAAGATTTAACGGAGCTCACATCTGCATAAGGTCATATGAGCACCAAGGGGTGGATGTCAACAGAAAAGTCCAAACTGGGCATCAGGCTTACTCTGCTCACCTCTCTAGCTTCAACAGCACAAAATCTGCTTCGATTATCAAGGCAACCCGAAAATAGCAATTCACAAGAAAGTGACAAACATACAAAAGAAGTAGAGAAAAATGACGATAGTAAGAATGAGGAAAGAAAAAGTAGCAGTTCCCCCTAAGTTGTTCCAGTACAGTATGAACATGACATTGATAAATTAGCCCATTTACAATTCTACTGTGCATAAGAACATGTTAATATACCCCCTTTGGCAAAGGCCTAAAGAAAGTAAACACACACTCTTTTCTCTTTAGTAAAGAGTTTTACGGCACTTGCAACACAGTAAGGTCATATAAGTGCCGAAGATCGGAGATGTTACAAGAGAGTAACAAACACAAAAAAGGAGGAGAGATCAGGACATTAGAAGTTTGAAAGGAAAGAAGGAGCAAACCACACCAGAGCACCCGTCCACCACCCACTATAAACACACACATAACAGCTTCATGAAACAAATACACAAATAGCATCAGCCTCATCAAACAAACATACAAACACACTACACACACACAAACAACACTCCGACGTACCAACAGCTTGGCCATGACCTCAGGCAGGTAGAACCTCCACTGCCTCTGGAAGGCACACAGCTGCAGCAGTAGGTTACAGCTGGACTCGGCCTCGGCCAATACCGGCTGGCTCAGGTTCACGCGGGCCATCTCCAGAGCCTTTGGAGAGAAGGAAGGAAGTTTGTTTTGTTTTGGCAAGCGTTTTAGTTTAAGTAAGAGTTTTACAGCACTTGCAACACAATAAGGTCGTATAAGTGCCGGAGATTAGAGGTGTTACAAGAGAGTAACAAACAAAAAAGGAGGTGAGATAGAGACGAAAGATTTTTTATAGGAAAGAAGGAGCAAACCACACCAGAGCACCCGTCAACTGCCCACTTGGTAAGCATTTTCAGGTGTCCGCAAATATCATCCGCAAAATCTAAGTCTCTCAATAAGTGTGCCATTTCCTTAATTGTGAGCAGTGAGCCATTGGGAAGGACAGTGCCTTGGCTTTTCAATACAGAGAAGTATAAGGACAGCTAATTTAGTGCAGGGAAAGAGAAAAAGAGACAGAAACAAAAGTTTGGACTGAATAAAGAGAATCACATCAAAACAATAAGGGCCAAATTTGGAAAATGTTTTATTCAGATGTGTTAAACGATGACATTCATTTAGAATACGGCATTATTGCTAATAATACTGACATACTAACACGACTTACCTATTTCAAATAACAGAACGAGTACTTGAAAAACACACTTAAGAGGAAGACTTTCATCCCACGAGCAAATTCAGTGTTCCAACTCATTACAAATCACACCCTCGCTCCAACAGCCCAAATAGCAAACTAACAGCACTACCACTCTCCATAAAAGTCCTCCCTTGTTCGTACACACTGACAATTTCCCCATTCACTGCCACACTGTCAGACAATAACAAAGTTGGTATATCTTACAATTTCTCCACTGTCCATTGTCAAACAACCCCCCCCCCCAACCCCAGAAGTCACCTTCGCTGGCACACTCACAACTTCATCGTCAGGTTAACAGCAATCTCCCCACTGCTGGTACATACCAACAACTTCAGTCTATTGTCAAACAAGAACCCCACCCTTAAACCCAAATCCACCACCGCCTTTAGCCCAGGGTTACCTACTGGCACACACCGACATCTTCATCAGCAACATCTCTTCTCTCCCCCCCCCCTCCCTTTAGCCTCGGATCATCCGCTGGCACAAAACATCTCCCCCCCCCCCCCCCACACACACACCAACCACCCTCCACTCACCAGCAGCAGTCTGTCCTGATGTACACCGACCAGGTCGAACACATGCTGCTGAAAGCTGTGGCCCAGCATGCGCAGCAGAGAGGAGAATACACACACACACACACACGCACCATCCACCCTTCACTCACCAGCAGCAGTCTGTCCTGATGTACACCGACCAGGTCGAGCGCGTGCTGCAGAAAGCCGTGGCCCAGCGAGCGCAGCAGGGAGGAGAACAGGTCCAGACTGAGGCAGTAGAGCCGGTGCCAGCTGATCGTGTCGGGACCGCCCCCCTTGCCCGCCCCTCCGCTCACACTGCCAGACACAAAGGCCTGCACAGGAGGGGGAAGAAAGTTTTAAAAAATTTTTGCGCTGAGCTGACAAAACACCTTTTTAAAAAATTCTCAGCAGTTTCGAGAAAAAGAGGCTTTTTAGTCAGTGTAACTATTTTTAAAAAGCTTTCTTCTGAAATTTGAATTCTAATTCATTCAAAAACTAGTCAGTTTCATTTTGATTTTTTCCCCACAATTAGGGTAACTGATCAGGCTTTCGATTTAGCAAATAAAAAAAAAATGGCACCAAAAATGAAAAAAAAAGGCGTTTTGTTAGGTAAGGGCAGTTATGAGGCTGTATGGGAATGGGTGCTGGCGGCGGTGGTGGCCAATTCAATTATGCCAGTGATGTAGTCGGTGGTGACAGTGTTGGTGAGGTTGGTAGGTAGTCATGTGGTTGTAGTTAGTGGTGGACTGTTGATGCTAGTGTTGTTGTAGTTTGCCATAGAGACTTTTTATTATTGAGTTTGTTGTTGGCGATGGTGATGATGTTGTTGTTGGCAGAGGCATTGTTGCTGTTGTTGTCAGCACTCATGAAAATAGTGCAGGTGATGTTGTTGGAAATGTTGCTGTTAGTTGTTGTTGTTTTTTTGTGGTGGTGCAGTGGGTGTTGGTGGAGATGGTGAGAGTGGTGATGAGGTGGTGGTTGTGGTTGCTGTTGCGGGAAAAGGTGGTGGTGGTGGTGGTGGTGGTGATAGTACCGATATTGTAGTTGGGGGCAGTGTTGGATTTAGGAGATTGGGGAAATTGACAGAGCCTGACATTGGCTGACTGACCCACTATACCAGGACGCTTTCAAAAAAGGGTGTGTGTGTGTGAGTGTGTATGTATGTGTGAGTGCGTGTGTGTGTGTGTGTGTGTGTGTGTGTGCATGCACGTGCGAGCGCAAGAGCGTGGGTGCGGCGAGAAAGGCACAATAAAAGAAATGAAGCAGAAAGAATGTCGTACTTTAAATCCAATCATCAATTCATCAACAGGACTGTTAGAAATTACTTGAATTATGATATATCCCCAGGGATTATAATTTTCACAGCTTCGCAGTGAAAAAGAAATAAATTGAAAAAATCTTACCCCATTCCTTTACTATCACCACAAAAGAAAACAAGCTCACAAGAAAAGAATGAGACACTTGCAGAACTCACTTTGCTGAGGAGGTTCCGAGGCTTGAAAGCATCCTCTCCTGAGTAGCAGGAGGTCAAGGCCAGACAGAGGTGAGAGGTCAAGTTACTCACACACAGCATGTTGGCACCCTGAGAAGAGGTAGATAATAAAGTGGATGTACAAACTGTAAACAAGCGACTAACTCCCCCCCCTCCCTCCTCAAAACCCATCCCACTGACTGATGTGACCAATTAAAAAAAAAAGACCTTCAGATTTTATAAAGCCCCCCCTCCTCCTCAACCAAAAAAGTATGGCACTAATGTACCTTTCGATATATGCAATAAAATGCTTCAAAACATTGCAGACTGCATGAATAGGGGGGAAGGGGACGAGTGAATTAAACCATTTTTCAATCTGGCTTGCCAAATGGGTTTATTAAAAACTTTTTGTTTGTTTTAGTAGAGGTTTTACGGCGCTCGCAACTGCATAAGGTCATATGAGTGCCAGAAGATAAGAGGTGCTACAAGAGAGTAACAAACAAAAAAAAAGAAGGGGAGATGAGGACGATAGATGTTTGATAGGAAAGAAGAAGCAAACCACACCAGAGCACCCGCCAATCACCCACATTAAAAACTTTTAAAACCCATTAGGAACATAAAGGGTTGCAAAAAGTAGAGATTTCCAGAAACATGAACACACACACATAAATAAATGCAATGCAGTGTAGACTTAGGAGCAATCACATGTAAAACTCACAGCCTCCGTGTCCGCAATCTTGGTGAGCAGAAGAAGAGAAGAATAAATGTAGGACACGCCTTTCCGGGCCTGGGGAAAGTAAGAGACCAGACGATGAATAAATCTTGTTCTTAAAAAAACCCATGACTTTGATGGTTCACTTTTGAGTAAACAGAAGCACATCCATACAATCGACAACAAAGGCCATTTGTGAGGCAGCGTGGTGGAGTCAGGCTCTCGTCAATTTTTGGGCATGTAGAGTTATAGGTATCATCTTAAAGCTGGTTCACTTGTCTTTATTTGGGTGAAAAAAATATTCCTTTATCTTGAATACAAGTCGAGATATTTGCAAATGAAGGAGGTGGGGGTCACCTGTTTTCAGAGGTACAATTGGTGAGAAAATAGCTGCCAAAGATTAGTTATTTCCATAGCTTAAGAGTCCATGGTAACTGAAAAATTTATATTTTTGGTGTCTTTACAGAGATGAGTTCTTTAATGGGCATGAAAGGTGTTGAGCCAAAAAACAAAATTTTGATAAAAATTTACGAACCTGCAGAAAAATGCCAGTTTCTTCACTTTGATTATTTTGACGAGAGCCTGATTCCACCACGCTGCCTCACATTTATTGTAGGAAAAAGCAAGATACACAGAAACAACAGGAAAGAAAACAAGCAAGACCAACCGGTGGAACCCTCCAACCACCTTCAAAATTTTAATGGGAAATAGTCCTGGACACTAGAGGGTAACAACAAAAAGAAAAATAAGACCTAATTTTTATCAGTTATCAAAAGTCTGGAAGGCAAGCAACATCTCACCGCGCACCAAGATTCGACTCTTTAACTCCAACATTAAGTTTGTACTCCTCTATGGCTGCGAAACTTGAAAGACAACAAAGACAGTACTGAATAAAGTCCAGACTTTCATCAACAGATGTATAAGGAGTATTCTAAGAATTAAGTGGCAGGAGAGAATAAGAAATGAAAAGCTGTGGGAAAGGACAGGACAAAAGGGTATAGAAATAGGACTTAGAAAGTGACGATGGATGGGACACACCTTAAGAAAGCCCAGCGGAAACATCACAGGACAATCGCTGCAGTGGAACCCACAAGGAGCCCGAGGCAGGGATAGGCCACGGGAAACATGGAGGAGATGCGTGGAAAGGGACATGAGAGAGATGAAGCTCACTTGGAACAAGCTTGGAAGGATAGCCCAGGACAGAGATAAATGGAAGGAGCTTGTATGTGGCCTATACCCTGCCAGGGGTGAAAGTGATTGATTGATTGATTGATTGATAATTTTTATCAGATTCTTTAGCTCATGTGAGCTGGATTGCTAACAACAACAACAGCTCATATGAGCAAAAATGACTCTAAATAAGACACCCTCAAACACAAAGCAATAATAAATTAAAGCATTTCTGCAGCTTATTTTTATTTCCTGAATGCCAACCATTGACAGTTTAGATCTGGCATGGACAAACTACAGCCTGCAGCCCAGATTTGGCCCATGAGCTGTTTAAGTCCGGCCTGCAAGTTGACCCATTATTTAATAATCAACAATGTGGGGAATTAAATTAATAAAAATGTGAAAATTTTGAAAATCTAAATCTAAATAGTTTCCAATCCACCTGAAAGCAAGAGGTCCAAAATGCTATCTCAATTGTGATATATGCTATAGCATCAGTGTTAGTCCCACTTTTGATTTCTTGGGTATTTTCAAAGAACTTACCCCTATTTCCTCTTGCATTGGATGTGATATTCTGAAATGCTTAATCTGGCTCACAACCTGGACAAGCTTGATTTACACCATAAGATGTCAGCTTTGACCCTGCCAGTCAGGGCCAACCCAGGCTGAGAGGGATACAGCAACCAGAAAAAACCCCAAAGTATTTCATAAAGTTTGCCCCACGTGGGAACAAACCCAGGTCTCCTATGTGCAAAAGCAAAGCACCTACCCACTACACCACAGATGTTGGTGTGTTGAGGTATTAAAATTTTTTATAGTCAAATATAAGACTCGAAACATTGATTGGTAATAGGTAAGCGTAGGAGTTCATCTTTTCAAAACTTTACGGAAAATAAACTAACGTCCACCACAAACATAATCCAGCCAAGTAGGTGAAGAGGCTTGAAAACTCCCTAAATAACCTTTAGTTCAAGAAAATCCAAATCCGGAATGTCAAACCAAAGCATAAAACAATACTGAGCTAACAGCACACTCAGACATGAAAACTTGGTCATATGTGATATATAAAACATCTACTTTTTGTTTAATAAAAAGACAGACAAAAACAAGAAAAAAGAAAATGAAATGATGGCATGTTGCCTAGTAAATGTGAATACAATTTCCTCCAGCAGTCAGGGCAATGTACCTTGAAGAAAGCCTCCATGGTGGTGAGCACACAGGACACGATACCGTTCTCTTGTATGAGTCGCAGTGAGGCTGGAAGGTCGGGGCTCACGTGAAGGATCTCCACCAGCAGACAGCATGACACTATCTGTACCTGTAATAACAGACACCAGAGGAACTTGTTTGAGAAAACAGGAGTACATCAATTCCTTATCTCCTGCAAGCAGCTCCCGGGGGCTTTGCAGTCGGAAGCTTGTTGGGGAGGAAGAAGAGTGATAAAGGGACAGAATAGCATTATATGAAATATTTCACTAAGAAAGAAGATACTATCTGTGTAGATTTTGTGGTGCAGCAGCTGATGAAAGAAAGATGCCGTCAATTTCTTTTCATTGAGGACCAATTAAATACATGTTCAGCTCCATACAAATGCTCTACATTATAATTAAAATCTTATTTAATTTGTTGTAAGAAAAGACATTTGAACATTGAAACTTCACCAACCTTGACGTGTGAGCCAAGAGAGTCAAGGGGCTGAGTGGTGCCCTCAGTGTCAGTTGTTTCCTTGACCTCTCCAGTGACCTCGGCTGTCTCGATAAGCCCCGGGAGCTGCCAGGAGCTTTGCAGAAACACTAGGGAGGGTATGTCAGAGGTAAAGAGATGAGAGAAGGGAGGATATGTCAGAAGTAAAGAGATGAGAGAAGGGAGGATATGTCAGAGGTAAAGAGATGAGAGAAGGGAGGATATGTCAGAAGTAAAGAGATGAGAGAAGGGAGGATATGTCAGAGGTAAATAGATGAGAGAAGGGAGGATATGTCAGAAGTAAAGAGATGAGAGAAGGGAGGATATGTCAGAGGTAAATAGATGAGAGAAGGGAGGATATGTCAGAAGTAAAGAGATGAGAGAAGGGAGGATATGTCAGAGGTAAATAGATGAGAGAAGGGAGGATATGTCAGAAGTAAAGAGATGAGAGAAGGGAAAGGGTGTCAGAGGGCAGAAGTAAAGAGATGAAAGAAGGGAGGAAGCATGTGGGTCGTCGCAGATGGTCTGCCTGAAAGCAGCTACATTTCCACACAAACTTATTAGATTATCTAGTAGTCTAACCTTCACACCACAAACAAGTATCATGAGTAAGAAACATAACATCATAAACACACCCTACAGTAATCTGTACTTCATGTACTAAAAGCTGACAGACACAACAAGATTTTACATACGTTTTCAGACTTTTACAAGATATTTTCAGGAAAACTTAATACATTTGAATGTTACAAGACTGGGCAAGTGAAGACTAGTAGGGGTCGGGGGTCTAGTGCCTAACTTCAAATCTATCAAACTTGGAGCTAAAGCACCCAAATAAACAATGTGAAGACCTGTACAAAGGTGAAGCATTTAGTCCACTATCAAAACACCAATCATGGTTAAACCAAACAACAGCGGTAAACCGAAAGAAAACTTTTGATCAGCCTAAACAACCACAATTCTAAACCAAAAGGAATTTGGAGAATTATGACGACCAAATCTTCACTGGCAACCCTCACATGATCATCAAGTCATATGCGCTATAAGATAGCAAAACAGGAGAAAGAAACATTAGACAAGAGCGCAAGTGTGTTGATTGTGGGCAAGAGAGAAGCTACTGTTTGCCTTCATTGATCATACACATTAATGGGCCTATAAACTGTGTGTAGGCCAAGTGGCGAATGTTGCTACATCTGTGCAGTATGCTACAATCTGCAGCAAAGACATGATCATCAGAAAATACCAAACATTAGGGGCTCCCCATATCTAGAGGTACAGTATTTGCCTGTCATTCAAAATATCTTGGGTTCGAAACTTGACGGCGTTGAACATTAATTTTACTACAGTCATCTGCTTTCATCTCCACTTTCTTCTTCTCCCCCATACTGTTACTGCCAATAAGGTTGAAGAACCTGCAGTCGACTACCCCTGAGATCTAGCAGGGGAACGAAAAGGGAAAAAAAAAATATTATAGTTTAGCTGGTAAAGATATGACACCCCCCCCCCCCCCCCCCCCCTCCCCAAAAAACGTTTTAAAAAAAATAAATTTAATTTTAAAAATCAATCAACAATTCAAAAACTATAAAAGACCTAACAAGGATTCAACAAGCTTTCTGTCAGTATTTCGTTGCTCACCTGAGCAGACCACAGGTAGCAGGGACTTGATCAGGGTCTGTAGGTCTGTGGAAGAGACAGAGAGACACAGGTGGAGACCAAACAATCCCAAGGCTTCTAGTCACCCTCTATAACACAGGGTTTTTTTTGGGTTTTAGTAAGCATTTTACAGAACTTGCAACACAATTAGGTCATATAAGTGCAGAAGACTATTTGAAGTTTTACAAGAGAGTAATAAATATAAAAAAGGAGGAGGAGAGATAAAAACAATAGATGTTTGATAGGAAAGGAGCAAGCCACACCAAAGCACCCATTAACCACCCACTCTACATCTACAACAAATTCTTATGGCATAAGATGCTGCTCATATGACTAAGAGAAGCAGTGACAGCATGTATATTAGTTGAGAAAAATTATGTTTCTTTTCACTGACAACAAGTAATCATCTTGTTTCTCTTACCTCGGGATGTGATTATGCATATTATCTGTCACAATGAGAGTGCTCTTTGGATGAAAAGTTCTTTCCAAAAAGCTTTTAAGGTGACTGAGGGTACCTTGCACTATCAATTGTGTGTGCATGGTGTGAGAGTGTATAAAGAATCTTGTCTTGTCCACACACTGATAGGCATTTTTTTCATGACCAATCCAGACCTGCCACTCTATGAAACCTCAAAATCAGGATGTCAGTGGGGGGGGAAAATTTTGATTTGGTGAAAAAAATCGGGATCAACAGCAAATCACCAAGGTGACCTCCAAGCTGACTTTAAAAATGTTCAGGGGTGTCCATAAATAAATAGGCCTATATGCCCTCTGTGTGTCTTTGTTTATTTGAGTGTGTGTGTGTGGGTGTGTGTGTTCGCATGCGTGCGTTATCATTATTTTTTGTAAATCCTGAAGCATCATGTCAAGCACTCCTAGTCCAGATGTGTAACTACACCCTCCCCCCCACCCCCCAAACCAATAAGTCCCAAAAAACACTTCAACCAGAGTGCATGAACTTAAGTTGACCCCGTCAAAGTCAACGGACGGTCCCCGACACGCGGAACTCACACAGCGCAGTCATGTCATGTGATGCGAGCGCACAACGGAAACAATTTTACTGACTGTTAGTTCACACAAAACACCCGGATGAGCGACAGTCGTTCTACTTCTAGGATAACAACGGCAGCCGACAGACTAAATGTACCAACAAATCTCTTATCCCTCATAATGCGTTCAGACCAAAGCAACGACAACGGCCATATGTTAGTCTTGTCAGCAGTTAGTTGTGTAAGGGTTAGAACAACTGTCGCTCGTCGGAGTGTTTGATGAGAACGCGCAGTTACCAGACCTCGGACAAGGCTTGTTTTGAAAGTAACAGCGGAACTATGAATATTATCCATTGTTTGTATGTCCTAAATTGTAACAGTTATCAGGCTATCATCGGAGAGTTCTGAGTGCGGGCAAAGATTAAACATAACTTGGGGCGAGTCAACTACTAAACCCGGCATCGAGATTTAGGAAAATAATGCTTCAAGTTCATACTGACACAAAGTTCAATGGGTGCTTCCCGCGATAAAGAAGAAGGCAGAGTATGTTTTTAGAAAAATCCGGCACAACAGCAGACTGGGACAAAAAATCGAGATACACGCAATCAAAATCGGGAATATCAGGATGCTTGAGATTTGGGGCAAAAAATCGGGATATCCCGACTAAATCGGGAAGAGTGGCAGGTCTGCCAATCAAAAAAGTCAAAGCAGAGATTAATGTGACTACTATACTCATGTTGCCCTCTTCTCCTCCCCAGATCTCAAACAACCAGCCTTTCTCACCATCTAACTTAGTGCCGCAGTGTTGCAAGATGGCCGTCAGCGCTCCAAGCAGACCAATGTGCACGGACGGCAACAGCCGACTGCTGTCTGCCAGCGACTCGCGCAGAACCTGTGTCAGTCTGCGCACCGCCACGGCCGGCCCAGAGATGGTGCGGGGAGACCCGGCAGTCTCACTCAGTTGTCTGTCCAGCAGTTCTCTGATGGAAAAAATAGGCAAACGTTCCTTCTTATATCAATAGTGGTACCGGTTCACGCATGTCTTATACCCACCCCCTTTAGCATATTACCACAAGTTGTTTTTCTGAACTAATCAACGGGTCAATGATAAAATCGTTAACATTACTACACTTACGTAACAAATAAGAGGCACTTACCTCCGACCCTGTCTATCAGGACCAACTTGTGCAGAGTAGGACACAGCAGTCCAGCAGACAGATCAAGATCAAGTCAGTGGCAATGAAATGGACAGCCCTAAAAAAATTCATGCCTTCTACTTGCAATAGAGAGGAGTCTAACTATTGTACAACAGGCACCGGTACAAAAGTAATATAAACCTAACTATGTGTAAGAAGTAGTTTCAGTCTGTGCATTCTGGTAGAAAAAACACCCCTCCATCTCCCACAAATTCTATATCTTTCTTAATTTATTTATCCAAACAGAAAATGAGTAGTTTGAAGTTGGCACTTCAGGCTGTTATGCTTTGGTAAGCAAACAAATAATCCAACCTCTTCTATCTTTATTTGAGATTTCAGTAGACTCTTTTCTAACCCTTCAAAATATCACTTCCTGGGCCGCAATTCTGGAAGAGGAGCACACAGTCTTCATTAGTTACAGTAGAAGACACCCCTTTGTTAGAAACAGCCACTCACTTCCCCCAGAGTTTGGTCAGAGTGAAGTAGAGGGCGCTGGAGATGGAGGCCAATTTGACCTTGACCGGGGTCAGCTGCTCCGAGGAGAACTGGGCCTGGACACCACATAGCAGATCATGCAGAATGTCGCCGCAGTCACGGTCCAATGGTTGGACCTCCTTCACCTGAAGAGAAAAGGGAGAAAAAACATGGGAAAGAGTTTAAAGTCAAAATCACATAAAGTATTCTCATATATGGATCTACTTAATCTTTTCCTTATTTTATTGTTTTCGTATATTTATCGTTCAAATTGTAGTCTTCCTAGATCAGACAGGCCAAATTTATAATCGGGACTGAAGCCATAAGACCATTGTCCAGGTCAACGGTAAAGGAGCACAAGGCAGAAATATAAAACCCAAACAGTGAATAATTTATTTTTTAAAAAGCAAAAATGTGAACAACTGTTAATATGCATATATTTAAATCAGTGGTTTACATGGAAATTTTGCTTATTTTGAGATGCCAATCACGAATATGACATAAGATTTTCCACCTGAACTTTAGAACTTTTTTTAAGCTCTGCCCAGGTAATGGTTGACAAGTCACCACACGATCTCACTCAAATGTTTCATACTTCATTCCCACACACCCATCAATGTAGGGAGGAGCCGTGTTGGTTTGGGGAAAACATGCAAACTGAATTCACACTGACTGCTGAGATAAAAACTGGAGCTGCATTTCAACTACCGACTTTCTGAGGGATGGAGGATTTTTGGACGGGCTGTTTTCTGGTTAGGTGGACACACGGGCTAAAAGAAAAACTTAATTGAGCTGAAATCATATATCCCCCACCCCATGTAATCCTGGTAACATTTTTTTTGTCACCAGGGTCAGAAAGCCAGGCAAATGTAACAACTCACCTTGAATCGACTCGTAGCAATGAGAAAGTTTTTCCAAGCCAAGAGCAGATTAAGGGCTGGGTGATCAGCAACGGTCAGCTCATACGTCACTTGAGTCGAGCCCTGGGCCTGACCTGCTTTCTCCATGCCTTCTTTCACCGCCTGGGCAAACACACAAAAATACATACACAAGGTCTGGTAACTTAACAAAACAGAGATAAACTTTTATAAAAGGAGAACAGAATAGAATTTTTGTGTGTGGTCCAAACAGTAACATACATGGTGTGATGAGTATACAAGAATGCAAAGAGAACAAAAGAAGAGATAAGATCTAAAATTTCATCCTTCACATGCATTATCACTTTAGAAAAATAGCAACAAAATGTACTCCACTCCTCTTTCAGTCTCTGTGCAAAAAAAACAACTTAATTTACCTCAGTTTCTCAATACGCGCACACACAAACACAAACTTAATTTACCTTAGTTTTGTCAACACACATAAACAAAATTTAATTTAGTTTCTCAACACGCATGCACACACATACACAAACTTAATGTACCTTAGTTTCTCAAATACAAACTTCAGTACTGAGCTACCCAATCTTTTAAACCAGAAACAATTGGGTGACATGAGACTATGCAGTGCCAGCATCCTCACAAAAACCTAGGACACTAGACCTGAGTGAACACAGCTTGACCAGCTCACCTTTGACCAGTACATGAGTCGACCACTAGTGAAAGCTGATTGCATTGATTTCTTGAAATTGTCATTGAACTTGGAACTGAAAATATTTCAGAAAGAAAAAAAAAATTTAAAGTAAATATGATTTTTTTAAAAACATGCTATGGACAATAAGAATGACAGCCGCAGGCACTCTAAAGTTACAAACCTGTCAATCCAAAACAGGATGGAGAAATTGAAAGGAATGAACTGACACAGTCAGTCAATTAAAAGTTGGGTTGCACCCTCAACAGAAATAATCAAAACACGGTACACAATCTTTGCCTACAATCTTGTACAAGACTTTACAATATTGCCTTCATTTCTCTTCCCAAGAAGACCTGTGAACACACGAGTGTCATCGACAACTTATGAGGAAAACTTTTGTAGTTTCATTTTCGTCAGAGTTTAATTAAAGGCACAACACAAATAGAGCATACAAGTCCCAAAGATTTGAGGTGTTACTAGAGAGTAATTTACCAAGGAGGGGAGATAAGGACAAAAGACATTTTTTAAAAACTTTATACATGAACAGAAAAAATGTAATAGCAGGGGGGTACCCACTAATCACCACCAGTTGTTTTTCTTCAGCCGAGTTTGAGCGATGCGAAGCACATCAATACACTGACAGTCATTTACACGCAGGAAAAAAAGCCAGACTGACAGACAGAAACACCAGATGAAGAGAGAAGAAGTAAGACCAACAAGAGACATCCTCCAACAACCAGCTGTTTTTCTTCAAAGGGCTTATTCAAAATACAACAAGACACAGATATCTCACCTGGAGACTGCGTACACTTCCATGGCGATGATTCTCAGGGAGAAAGCAGCCAGTTTGGTCTGCAGTTTGAAAGCCTGTGGAGAGAAACACAGCATGTGTGTGAGAATGACACAAGTATGCCGTGACAATTGTGGTCAGGTTATAAATACTTTAGTTACTTGGTTGGAGAATAGGTATCATCGCAGGTGATACAATGCCATAGCTGCTCCTCTCTCTTCTCCAGGACCCATGAAAGGGTTAGCTTGCTGATGGTGCCATTTATTAGCTGGTCGGATATTCTTCAGGCCAAATACTTTAGAAAATCAGCAAGTATAAAAACTACACAAGCAAGTGTGTTCTCACACAAGCTAAATACTCGAGTACTAAAGCAGACTTAAGTTTTCGCACATCTCATGTGAACAAGCTTGGTCAAGGCTTAACTCTTAAGTCGGCACAATTACTGACTTGACCCTGAATCTGCATCACTGCAGCGGCTAGTCTACTCAAGGGTAAACCTTTATAGTAAAGAATAGTTTCTCTTTTATCCAGTCCAGCTTTTCATAGGAAGTTAGAAATAGAAGTGAAATTATGTGTGCCCTCATATTAGAGCATTTGAAAGCAGTTTATTGTGTGTTTTTGTGTTGTTTTTCAAAGCTTTTAGTATGCACAAAAAAAACCCAACCCCTATTGACCATGGCATCTAAAATTAGTCTAATTCATCAAGCACTCAGCTGTTTCTTTTCCTAAGCAGACAGCAACGATAATAATTTTTTTAAAGTCTGAAGTCGACCATGATAGTATTCTTGATAACAATAATAGTGACTTCAATCAAACCAGACACAAAGAAACGAATAGCTCTAGATCTAGTAGAACTAGTTCCAGGTTGAGAGCCCAATACTACACAAGTAAAGGTACAGGACGAACTAAAGGAAAAGAAATGAGCAAGGGAAGGCCTAGGTCTAGTTCTGTTCATTCAAAATCTAGAGAAAAATCAAGATAATTATTGAGAAGAGTAGGAGAGAAGTATGTATAGGAAGCATAGAGCTGGCAGTAAAAATCTATAGATTTAGTTAGTAAAACATTTAATTTCCAAGGAAATATGAAAATTGCTGTGCATGTTTACAAATGACAATACTTCACTGCACAGTTGGTTTTGAAGACTTTCCTGAGCAATTTTCTCCAGAAGAGGCCAGAAAAGTAGTTATATATAATCAAATTCTTATTGTTCCTACCATTTTTAATATTTCATTATTTTTTCTCATTTCACTCATTTATCATTTTATTTCTATTTGTATTTCAACAGTATCTTAATACATCAACTCTTCATTCTTTCCTGAATATTTTGATGGGTAGCCTTGTAGCAAGATGAAAATGCTAATGTGTATTTACAGACTTCAACATGAGTTAAGGACCACTTGCAAACTTGTCTTCTTGGGTTGACCTGCACGGGGGGGGTTTCTTGGACTGATCCAGTGGCTTGATGGTGCTGCCTCAGGCGGACAATGACAGAGTGTGACACTGCAAACTTTTTCATCCTTTCCCCCCACATCAACCACATCTGTCCCAGGTCGATGTCAAAAGACGGGTAAGGTTAGAGAGAGAACTATCTCTTCCACCTGGATTTCTCACCTGAACCGAGAGGTCATCGTCCTCCTGCACAGCCGGAAGGTCAGAGGTCAGCGGCGCCACAACACTGGGCCAGAAACTTTCTCTGTGCAAATGCAAACACAACCAGTTTCGTTTTACTAAGTTTTACGTCACTTGCCACACAATAAAGTCATGTAAGTGTCGGATATTAGAGGTGTTACAATAGAGTACCAAACACCAAAAAAGGAGGAAAGATAAGGACGATAGATGTTTGATAGGAAAGAAGAAGCAAACCACACCACAGTACCCGCCAACCACCCACCAACCAATTTAAATCCTGGGAATCTCACAACAGCATGTCTTTGTCAATGACACACATGACAGACAGAACACGCCTTACTTTACGATGGAGATCATCACAAGAGAACACAACACCAAACATATACAGAGGAGAGAATCTAACAGCAGCAGTTTTGTGAATGACACAAAGAGAAGAAGTCAACATATAATGAGGGGAATAAGTCAAACTCACAGTATTTAAAAAAGGAATCGAGCTAAAAAAACAACTATGTCAAATGGAATAAATTAAAAGCAAAACAATCAAAAGAGCAGGTGAGAAACATTTATTCTTTAAATACACAAATTAACATGATAGTGGATGTTTAAGAAATAGTTAAGTTTTGTACTTTACTCAATTTTGGAAGAAAATCTAAAAATTTGATTTTTTTTTTTTTAAACATCAACTGATTTTCTTCATTGGCCGTCCCTTTAGTTGAATTTTGTTTGTTAAAATTTTCGTTGCTATTGGTGCATAGATGACAGGGGGCTCTCGTGGCCTAGAGGTTAAGGTGTTGGCCTCTCATTCAAAGGTCCCGGGTTCGAATCCGGGTAGCGACCGAAAAATTTTCTTCTCTAAAATTGTCTCTTTTCACCTCCTTTCCTGCTCTCTAGCAATGTTCTGTTGTCTGCTTTCATTTCCACTTTCTGCCCCCACCCCCTCACCTCCTTTGCCCCCTCCTCTGGGCTCCTGACTCTTTATGCAGCCTTTCTACTGCTACTCCTTGGCTCCTCCTTACTGCTGTCTTTCTGCCACACCCCTGATCTTCTGGTAGGAAAGATCTACACCTAGCCTTCTCGGACAAGGGCGAAAAATCTCGGACGGCCCGTGTGCAAGTTGCGCACGTTAAAGATTTTTTGGTGGTCTAAAATCGACAAGAGTAGGCTTCGGCCGCCACCTGGGCAAAATTCCAAATTTCCTACCAACTCAAAATATTAGGTGCGTCCCGCGTGCTCATATGACCTTGTGCAGTTGCGAGCGCCGTAAAACACTTTACAAAAACAAAAAAAGCATAGATGACCAAGTTATCACCCTTTACCTGCCCCCCCCCCCCCCCCTTAAAGAGAACCTGGAACAAAGACCTCTGAACAAAAGTTGAGATTTAGAAAAAAATGAAATCAACGAAATTGGCTTTTTTTTTTTTAACTGACGGACAATTTTTTTTTCTTTTTCTTTTTCTTTTGTTGCTCATCACCTTTTATGCCTATTTAAAAACACATTTTTGAGCAGATTTTACTTTAAAACATTGATTAAAGGCACAAAAAATGTAAATGTTCAAATCATAAAGACTCTCAGGAAGACTATGGAAGTTGCCAAACTTAGATGGCCATTTTCTCACTAATCTTACCTCTGAAACCAGGGGACCTTGACCTCCTTCAATAGCAATTATTTTGACTTCTATACTTCTATTCAACACAGATGGATATTTTTTTCCACCACAAGGAAAACACGTGAACATGCTCCAAGATAATACCATTAACCCCATATGCCCAAAAATTGACGAGTGCCCGATTCCACCACGTCGTGACACAAATCAACTCACGTATTGCGTAGAACAGTCATGGGTGTCTCTCTCATGCCGTGCCAGAGTGCGTGAACCAGGTCGAGGGAGGCACACAGGAGCTCCGGCGGGCACTCGTAGGTGCACTGTTTGCTGGTGGACATCAGCTCCAGCAGCACGGGCAGACAACTGCTGCGGCCCAGCTTGAGATCCTGGGGGAGTTGGGAGTGTGAGTCAGAACTGCCGTAAGCTGACAATACGCCTTTTTTTTTTTCAGTTTTGGCGCCATTTTTTTTTCCATTTGCTACATCCAAAGCTTGATAAGTAACCCTAATGGGGTAAAAAAATCAAAGTGAAACTGTGACTACGTTTTGAAGAAATTAGAATTCCAATTTCGGAAGACGCAAAAAAATAGCCTGTTTATCTCGAAACTGCTGGGAATTATTAAAAAGCTTTTTGTCAGCTTACGGGGAAAAAAAAAAGGCATGGTCGGGGAGCCAGGTGAGTGATTCAAAGGATACAAACATTATCTCTCTCTCACAAACACACTATCTCTCTCTCACACACATACAGATCTCACTTTAACACTAGGCTGTTAGTGTTGTACACTCATGACCACACCTATACACACACAGGGCTGCCTTCATCAAATTCCCCATTTCAGTTGGATCTCCATTTCAGATAATTCGGCAAAATATCAGGTAGTAAAAAGACAAAGAAGTACAAGACAGACAGACATTACCCTGATACATGTAGTTACCATCGAACAGAGCTTGCTTATAGTAATACTATTATGAAATCATATTTTCTAAAACTTATATTGTTTGTACACATGTGCGTGTATATGTGTGTGGGTGTCTTTCGATGCGCAAATGTGAAGAAGAACAGTGTTGATGAAATGAAACTGTGGTTCTTTATTAAACATTCATGGACTGTCACTGGATTAAAGAGCAGGGAGACAGCCAAACTGACTTCAAAATCGATATCCCGCACCAATAAAGACTAATTTAAAAGATATTTTTTGACAGTGTTATGTCAACTGGGTCAGTTAGAGACTTCCTTATTTGTATCATTCCCAGTGTCAAAGGCATTTTATTCAAATGGCCAGGGTCCCTGCTATTCCCGCAGCCCCCCCGCTATAAAGCCCCTGCTCTGCCACTTTGCATTCACCTATGAACTTTGGTATTGAATGTAGGCTAAAGTTATGACCCATCCCAGCAGAGGTGTACAAGAGGTCAACAAAAGACTCACAGGCCCAAGAGAACACACAAAAGAGAACTGGCTATTTTTTTCTGGCGTTTTTTCTCTCTCTTTTTTGGGGTAAAAATCCCGGACCCCATCGTAAATTCTGCAGATCAAGCGCCTTTATTAGTGATAGAATAGAACTTGTAAAAAATCCAACGGCATTTATTAGAAAAATAAGTAAAAATAGCCAGATGTGCACACACATGCACACAAACACACATCTCACCTTAGCATCAGCCTGTTGGTGCTGTACACTCAGGAAGATCTCAATGAGGCCAGGCTGGGACTCCACACACACAGAGAGCAGTTCCAAGATACCAACCTTGAGTTGGACATCCTAGACAAGATAAATGATACATTATTGAGTCACCATTCAATCACATTAAAAATCCACAACCACACAGTTAAACGATTTGTTTGAGTGAAAAGAACCACATTGACAAAACAATGATCATTGAGTGCTGTGAAAAAAGCAAGACAGACATAGAAACAGCAGAGAGATAAAAAAAGACACAGGACATATTGGCGCCCTCCAACCACCCACTATGAGGTTGAAGAAAAGAGACAAACTGAGGAAAAAACAGAAAAACAGACTTAACAGTGACCGCATCCAACCTCCCACCAACTTCATTCTCACTCTGTACCCTTGCATTTTATCTCACCCAACTCACAGCAACTCCCTCTTCAAGCACATCACACAAGACTATAGATACAAAAGTAAGTACCAGCCCCTCACCTCTGACACAGCCTGAAGTCGTGTGAGAAACATGTCTCGGATGGGTTCCGCATCGCTGCCCAGACATGCCAGGATGGACATTGGGGACACCTGGAATGAGAAACATCACATAATCAAATTAAGTACCATGCACTTTTTTTTTATTGCTGCATTACAGCTATTGGCTACACAAAATCTTATTCCTCCACTCAAGTTAAAAGGAAACATATTTTAACTCATAAATGAAAAACAAAGCTGGGTTCAAATTGTGTTTAAAAATTCTGTTATCAAACCTAAGAGGCCCCACTTTTCCAAAGATATAAATGTGTTGAGAAAAAGTTATCTCCATCAGATTTTTAAAATGCTAGAAACGACATAGCCATCAAACATTTCATCAAGAAATCAACTTTCAAACTGTCTCAATAACAAGAAAAAGTATTAGAATGTTTACTGCAATTGGATGAGTATATATATATAGAATTGCATGTGATTAACAGTGAATGTGGTATCTTTAGCTATTGTTTTGAATTTCAAGAGTGAGGTCTTCTTAAGACATCAGAAGGCCTCCTGTCTGCTAGATAAACAAACAGTACTTCAGGGGGAAAAATCAGGATCAAATGAAAAAAACCATCAAGATTAACAACAATGTTATCATGTAGATGGCTGCCTTTATGTCTAGATGCGATTCATTATATATATTTACAGCTTCAGATATTTTGTGATTTCTTTTATCATCCAATCTCTCAATGCTTTAGTAATTTAAGTCAGACCAACAGCAAATTGGAAAAGATTTTCGTTTTAGTTTTAGTAGTTTTACAGCACTCGCAACTGCATAGCATAAGGTCATATGAGTGCCAAGGGGTGGATGTCAACAGAGAATCTCCTCCAGAGAAGTGACAGAAAGACAAGGAAAAGCAACCAGCATGCTCACCATGGCAAGTCTCTTTAACAACAGAGTGGCCAGCGCAGGCAGTCGGTGGCTGTGCCTGTGGTAGATGTACTGGGCCACCGTGGCCACTGGGTGCTGTAACTGACGGCCGGCCGGCTGACTGGACAGAGCCTGTTCCACCGGGGACGCGCCCAGCCGCAGAGGCTTCAGCAGCAGGAGGCGGTTCAGAAGAGACAGCGACATCTCCACCAGCTCCATGAGGTCCATGCCGGCACCCTCCATCAGGCTGGGGGAGACACACTCAGTTTTGTTTGTTTGTTTGAGGGATTTCTTTTATGTTATAGTAAGTGTTTGACGGCACTTGAAGTGCAACACAATAAGGTCATATAAGTGCAGAAGATTAGAGGTTTTGTTTTAGTAAGTATTTTACGGCGCACTCGCAACACAATAAGGTCATATAAGTGCAGAACATTAGAGGCGTTACAAGAGAGTAGCAAAAACACAAAAAAGAAGGAGGGGAGATAAAGACGATAGATGTTTGATAGGAAAGAAGAAGCAAACCACACCAGAGCACCCGCCAACCACTCACTGTTTGAGTAAGGAGAAGAACATAGACACAATAATGTTCATTTTGTGCTGGGGAAAAGTATGACAGACAGAAAGAAAAAAAACAGGGAAAGTAAAGAAGCAGGACCTACTAGTGGCGACTTCCAACCACACGCGAAACACATTCATCAGGAAACACATTCATCACGAAACACAAGACATGAGGAAATAAGGGAAAACAGACATCTGAGTTGATACCCAACACTCTATCAGATTGGATAAACAAAGACAGTACAGCATGGGTAAACACAAACAGCAGTATAGGGAAGAACAGGCAGTAGCATATGCAAAAGTGAGTCAGTCTACCCCTAAACCAGTAAAATGGGAAGAACAGACAGTAGCATATGCAAAAGTGAGTCAGTCTACCCCTAAACCATCTATCAGACTGAGATTATATCCCTACACCCTCTATCAGATCAGGGCTACAGAAAAAAGTCTGTGCCCACACCCTCCATCAAATTGAGATAATAGGCAGAAACAGGGGTAAAAAGAGACCCATAATCTATTTCAGCACTCTTCATTAAGCTGAGGTAACAGCCAGTAGACAGAAACTTGGATAAAAGTAATACACTCCTGCAGTCTGATATAATAGGTCTATTGCTGACTGGGACCAGTAAGAAATTAAATGACCATGAAGTAAGAAACTAAACTATTTTTTTCTGACCAGAAAATTTCAATAATAATACGCAATAATGTAACAAGGAAAACAATAAATGCAACACAATGAGAAAGAAGAGGACTTCTAATCAGCCACCAAACTCAGACCTCTAAAAAATTTCAGGCACATTAATGAGAATCAGCAAGTACACATCCCTTCCCCAAAGATATTGTAAAAGTGGTCAGGGTGAGTGTTTACCTGCACTGTTGGGCCAGCGTTTGCTGTATGTTGTCCACACCAGTGGTCACTATGTCCAGCAGGGAGCGGCCGGCCTCTGAGAAGAGCAGACTGAACACACACGACTCCTGCAGGCTGGGGGCTCTGCACGATTGATACACATGAGAAAAGTGAAAAATGACAGAAGCAAAGCAAAGACAATAGAAATCCATTTATCCAAACCAGTAACACAGTATAGGCCTTTCTTTTTTTATTAACCCTTTCGCATTGAGGTCATCCAGTTTTGTCACACACTAAAGCGTGGCCTCCCTGAGCAAGAGCACTAAAAAAATAAATCCTGTTCAGAGAAAAGGCAATTAAAAAATTAGTTGGAAGTGAAGTACAAGACCCTCAAACTTTTACATTGTCCTGTTCAGAAATGGTTTCTGCATATCAATAAAGTATTAGGTTGGGGGCAAAGGTTTATATGAGAGTGCATGTACATTGTGTGAAGTGTCACTTTCATCACCACTTCATGGTTCTTTATAACCTAATTCATGGCGGAATCACATACAGTGCTATAAAATTCCAAACGCCCTCTTCTTTTTTATGTTTGTTACTCTCTTGTAACACCTCTAATCTTCTGGTGCTCATAAGACCTTATGCAGTTGCCAGCGTCGTAAAACATCTACTAAAACTAACTAATTCTGTGTTTTTAATTCATGATTAACACACCCCCTTGATTACCGTATGACTGGCGAACTCAATCTGATGGATTCATTACATCATCCCCGGCACACTGGCGATAAACATCCGAAAGGGTTAAGATGTTCAAGACGCAACACGTCCATCTCCAACTTCCCTCAGCATTAGAACAGGAGCTAGTAGAATGCGAGCCTTGAAAACTTCTCAAACAACCCAGTACAACCCAGTTTCAAAAACACACAGCAGAATATTTGAACAAGGGTCATTCACACTAAAGCTCTGCATATATATCAACTGAGCCAATGTCAAGGACCATCCATACAGGACTTTTTAGACAAACAACAGGCAGGAGGCAAGATTGATTTTTGTAGAGCATGCGTAACAATGCATTAACGTTTATAAAAAACAGCTACACTTCCTGACTCATACCTTACACGTCTACTGTCAGCCCTCTCTACTTTTTTTCTATTGCTTTATCACCCCATTCAGATTCCTGCAAAAATCAAGCTGCCGCTGAGATGACTAGTAAAAAAAATTACAGTTCAAAAACAGCAATCTTTTCTTTGACAATCCTATCATAAACGCCACACACTTAGCACAGGACCGAAACATTAAAATCAAATAGAACATAACAGAGTTGTAAATTCTCTACTCTCCATCCCGTAGATAAGGATTCTATACTCTCCATGTTGTAGACAAGAAGGAACAAAGCACTCACTTTTTCTTTCCCTTCCCAGTTTCCTGTGGCTTTTCCTGCAGGTTCACAAAGTTAAAGATGTTGTGAAAAAGTTGGAGACACTTCTGACCTGAAACAGCAAAACAAAAATTCAGACGAGTTGGTCTGGTGCTGATGGCATTTATGGCAGTTTGACTCGACATGATCTAATGATTCGCATATTTATTAGTACAATCAGGAAAGGTGACATGAACGCTCAAAACTAAAAATCAAGGATAGCTCTTATAATATGCCAGTCCCCAACGGAACCGCTATATTTTCTTGGTATCGGTAATATTGTTTCTCAAACATACGTACAGATTTTTTTAACCCCAGTTGTCTTGAATTCAAACCAACATGCCCTCACAGCGGAAAATTGGCGCTCACATGACTTTATGCAGTTGTGACTGCCATAAAACTTTACTAAAACTACTAAACTAAATGATGGAAAACACGCCTATCGTCATCGAGAGCAGGATCGTGTGGTGTGAGTATGTTTGTGTGTGTGTGTGTGTGTGTGTGTGTGTGTGTGTGTGTTTGTGTGCAGTTTACATTTTGCCATAAAAATTCATTTTTTTTAAACAAGAACTTTAGACACAATCACTTCAACCTCTGTGGCAAGGATTTCTTCTGCTCTTCTAAAATAAATCGTGACATAAGGGGAAAATATTCAGGAAAAGTGCATCCCTGAGCCTCTACCCTTAACATACCAATGAGCTTTCTCTGGGTGATGTCTACGTAGCGCCACTTGTGGAAACGAGGAAACACCTCGCGGAGAATGTACAGGACGCTGGCTGTGTGCTCCCGCTCCCGGCCCTCCTTGGAGAAAGACTGCGACAGGCGACAAAGAGTTTAGTTTTAGTAAGAGTTTTGCGTCACTTGCAACATTATTATTATAAGGTCATATAAGTGCTGAAGATTAGATGTGTTACAAGAGAGTAACAAATAAAAAAGTAGGAGAGATCAGGACGATAGGCGTTTGATAGGAAAGAAGGAGTGCGACACACCGGAGCACCCACCAACCACCCAAGGACAAAGAGTTTTACAGTTTGGGTAAAGAGAAACCTCAACACAAAAAGAGACTGTCTTTAAGGACGGATGAACAGACAGATGAATAAACAGACGGACAGACAGACAGACAGGGAAAGCAAATAAGTAGGGCCTACCAGTGGTGCCTTACAAGACAAAAAGGCATTTATTTCAGTGTCTAACAAAGAGCAGAAAACAACAGAATCTGCTATACACAAATAGCTCCTATTCCACACATAGGGGTTCTTAACCAATTTTGTTTCACAAGCAATCCTAGACTTGATATTTACAGACATTATTATTGCCATCCCCTGTGTATGTAAGAATGTTTTAGGCAAATTTTAAAATTTTTTCACAATTCCAAAAAGTTTAGAAAATTTCAGCACAACATCAACAGTGATAATGTTACATTCTAAAACTAGACCTGAGTTGACACAACACCGAACAACAGCCAGTTTTAAAGACCTATAAACGTTTCGAAAATTAAGATGTGAAAAATATAAAGCCACATTGAAAACAAAATGTCGATCAAGGACATCAGAGGAAAACCACAGACAGGAAGGCAGGACAGACAGACAGACAGAGAAATTGCCAATGTTCTGAGTCTTTAGTCATGAGCAGGTAGTAGAGTAAAGAAGGAGAAACACAGACTCACCACAACCAGTTGCGAGACCAAGTCCAGCACAGACAGCGTGACCAGGTAGGTCCCCTGTGGGCACTCGGTGGTAGCCAGCAGACAGCCGTACAGACCTTGGTTCACACCATCACCGCTGGACACAACAAGGGAAGAACAATCATACAATTGTCTGAGTCATTTGAGAAGCATCGTGGTGAAATCAGGCGCTCGTCAAAATAATGAAATCACAGAATTTAGCATTTTTCCGACCAATGGGTAATTTCTTTTCCAAATTTTCTTCTTGTTTTTTTGGCTCAACACCTTTTATGTCTCTTTCAAAACACATTTCTTTGTGCATTTTACTAAAAAAACGTGGAAAGGCACAAAAATGTAAATTTGCAGTTTCCAAGGACACTCAAGCTTTGAAAGGTACCAAATTTTGGCAGCCATTTTCTCGCTACTTTTACTACCTCTGACACCAGGCGACCCCCTCCTCCCTCAGTTGCAAATATCTTGACATCTATTAGATAGATCAGCACTTGTTTTCATCAAAAGCGAGACAAAATTAACAAGCCCTAGGGCGATTAAAATAACTTCATGTGACCAAAAAATCGACGAGCGCCCGATTCCATCACGGCGTGACACGTTAAACTTCCAGTAACACCACAACAGTCACATCTAATCAGAGAGAGTAGATGAAGACAACAGTATCAGGAAAATGAAATAAAAGAAATGGACCGAAACAAATGATCAGAATGATTGTTTACACCTTCATCCATATTTAAATAATTTACTTATTTTTTATTTTCTTCGTTGGAAAATGTTTTGCAAGCGCTGTAAAACACTTACCAAAAAAACAACAACAACAACCCCCCCCCCCCCCCCCCCCCCCGCACAAGAAACAATTTATGTTGATGCATGGATATGCATATGTCATTAAACGAAAAGACGAAAGAGGAATTTCATTTTATTTTATATTTCTCTAATTTTCTCATTCACCTCAAGACTTCAGAGAAATCATCAATGTTCTCAGTCAGGAACGGCAACAGGCCCGTCTGTTTGAGATGGTGAGAAACCTGAAAGTAAAAATATCAATGCTTTTTTTTCTTTAAAATAAAAAAATATGAAAAGTACAGAAAAATTACACTTTACAAAATCTATATCCCTGTTAACTCTTTATCTCCGAGGAGGGTAAACCCATTACGCCTGTGCCCTTTTTAGGTACGAAATCTAAAAATGACGAAAACGTCACTAAATGGGTCATTAAATCGAAACTCGCAAAGCTATTATGATAGTACTTCATCTAATGAATGAGCTTCCAGTAAAAGAAACCTGTTTTCGGTAACTTGATGTCAAAGTCATCGTAAAGGAATGTGCCCGAGCCGCTGTCAGCAGCTCACCAGCATAGCAGTTCCGACTGCGAGCCGCTGGGAGCGGTTTGCCAGAAATAAAGAGTTAAGTTGTTTATTATGAGTCAATGCAATTACGGCTACATGTCCTCAGGAACAAAATAGGATAATAATGACATAAAATAGAAAAGAAAAACAGGAGCAAACCACCACCCCCCCCTCCTTCCACAAAACCACCGGTAGTTCGCTTTTAATAAGTCCATTTTTTTAAAGTTATAAATTTCATATCAACATGTACGATTTTGTTCAAGCTACATTTCAGAGCAGTGTATTTAAAACAAAATTTATAAATAACACCATGACAGCTTGAAAGCAAAGTCCTCTTTAACTTCCAACAAATCCCAACCATAAGTCCCCATCCCTCCCCCCAATCCCCCAGCATCCAGTCATCCCACCTCACCTACCCATCCCCCAACATTCAGTCATCCTACCTCCCCTCCTCCTCTCCCTATCCCTCAACATCATCTTCCCACCTCCCCTTCTCCCCAGCATCCAGTCGTCCCCCCTCGCCCCCCCCCCCCCCCCTTCCTCATTCCCAGCACTGTCTTCCCTCCTCCCATCCCCTTCTCCTTATTCCCCCAGCATTAAGTCTTTCAACTTCCCTTCCCTTCATTACCAAGACCCTCACACTTCAGACAAAGAGCCTGCTGACCTGAGTGTGAAAAAGCGGCACAGCCCGTGCCAGACAGTGGATGGTGTGGGACAGGAGTTCTATAGGGGCTGGGCTCAGAACCGCAAACCTAAGGGGAAGAAAAGATTGTGTTCATTTGTAATAAGTAAGGTTATCAATAGAAATTTTACTCAAAAACGGTTTCACAACAGCTGAAGAAGATACCACTAAGAACAAAACCCTTCACTAATAAAAATGAAATTATATGGGTATAATGCCCTTTGCAACACGGTAAGGTTATTAAGAGGCGGGACCTCTGAACTCAATGTCCATGGCGGGAAGACTGAGCTGAACGGGAAAATTTGTGTAAAAATCCTTTCTTATGGACACAACCTTGGACCGAGCTAAGATTCGAACCCTTGACCCCACAATCTTATGACTGTGAATCTGGTGGCCTAACCATCAGAAAAAGACTTAATAAAATCAAAACACAAAAGTTTAAAAAGAAAAGTGCAGCAACCTTCACTCCTATTACATATCATTGCTGTTACAAAAAAATTAGCAATTTAAATATTTCGTTCTCTTCCAGTAAAGCAGGGTCTAATGCAGGTACTTATAACACAATGACAAATACATAATATACATATGACTAAAAGACTTCACATGGTCGGCCACAAACGAAAAGGATAAAAACAAAATACTTGCCTTAGAATCAGCTGGTAGCCCAAACTGAATATCTCTGAAAACTCTGTGACAGAAGACGGGTCAGAAGTCATGACCTCTTTGATGAGCTCCATCACCATGGTGACCTTGATAAGCTGTTCCGTCTGCACCATACCTGTGCATAAAACCAAATTTTTTGTTCAGATGTTCATACGTTTGATGAAACCCCCCCCCCCCCCCCCCACCCGAAAAACCAACACATTCACACGGTGGAAGCCTGTATGAGCCAGTAAAACTTTAACCCTCATCCTGCGGGAGCCGGGTTTATGTAGCCCGATAAGCCTATTTCGGCACCTCGCCTGCGTTCTGGTCCCGAGTCAGTGTAGCTCCTGGCTCAGCGCACGCGCAGCGTGCATCCTCTTACGTGTCATTCGGGTCCCAAGTCGGATCCCCATTCACGCAGGTCAAGTGTGTGTGCGTCAGTCTGCTTGAGTTTGTGTGTGTTTGTGGCCTTCTTCTAGAACCACCTGCGTTGGTTCGTAATCGAGGCATACGTCTCATTCAAAACATGCCAAGTTGATAGCTCTAGATGTGCGTCCAATGAAATTATAGAAGAAATTGACCCACTTAGACATGAGGAGCTCGAAAGGATAGTCAGGAAACAAGACTTCCATTTTTCTATACCAAATATTTCAAATGAGCTTGATTTTGTATGAAATGATACTACCTGATAAAAGATGAGCTAGTTTAATAGTTTTGAATACCCTTGTGCAGGTACAAAGAACAATTTGAGTGTAAAACATTCGGAAATTGACCTAAATTATCCCTTTTCGAACCTCAGGTCATTCATAACAACAAGAGCGTCCAGAAAGGTTATTCAAATGGGCGTAACTACTCGTAATGTCTTATCAGCTTGTGAGAGGGGGTTATTCATGTGTTTGTAACACTTTATAAATAGAATACTATGAAGGATAGAGCGTTATTTTCATCATCAGTTAACACACTCCCGCGGTATTCATGGCGAAAACACACGTTTCCCGGCGCGCGCGCTGTACACCAACAGTACACACTGAGTGACCCCGGCGGCCTGCCCGGCGAGTCCGACGTAATCGGTTGCTGATAAGATACGCATCTGGGCACAGATGCAGAATAAGAGTTAAGGATGAAGAGAAGCCGTAGTTGTTTGCGCTGTTCCATCAGGTCAGGCAACAGCATCTGGACTACATCTTACATCCTGTGAAGACGAGGCATACGTCTGATTAGGCAAATGCTTGTCAGAAAACATCTTGCATCTCTTCGTGTACTGCATAATTGAGTTCCTTGCTTTTTATTTCCATACAACTGATTTATACAGGCTTTACAAAAAAATTTACAAAATGCAGAGGGCCAAAATAAATTATTTTTCTTTAAAGGATTGGAAAAGAATAGCTCAAAATGTGTGTGTGTGTGTGTGTGTGTGTGTGTGAAAAACAGCAGAGAGAGAGAGAGAGAGAGGAGAGAGGAGAGAGAGGAGAGAGAGGAGAGAGAGGAGAGAGAGGAGAAAGAGGAGAGAGAGGGGAAGGGGGGGGGGGCAAAAAAAGACAGAGAAAGAGAGACAAACAGACACAACGAAAGATCAAAAGAGAGTACCTGCACCATGGGAGACCTGAGAAAGCAGCTCCTGTATCTCCCCCATCAGCATCTGCCAGCCGTTGTACGTGGTTTCCCACTGGATGATGTGGCCTAGGCTGCTCAGGTCTCGCCGAACAGCTGGAAGGAGACAAAACATTCACTACACATGTGCCTGATCGTTGGGTTGACATCTCATTTGACACAAAAGGGTTCTTCCTCTCCCTGCAGCAGCACTACATGGCATTGGACAGAAGGGCGAGAGCCCAGCTGTTGCTGGATCGATAACAACAACTCCCTGCAGCAGCAAACCAATTAGATTGCAGCATTTCGTCAACAACAATCTTGTCCAAAATGGTGGGAACTGAAGTCGCATGAGTGTGATGAGGAACTTTCCCAAACTATATGATGATATTCTTTTCAATGATTTTTTAATCGTATTTTATTTGAGCATGCTGACAATATTAAACTGACGATACTAACTTTATCACAACAAATATGTTGACAGTGTCCACTTTGGATTTATCGATTCAAAATTTGATACCTGATTAAAAAGTAAAAATCAAAAGGTATGTAGAAATCCCGTGTCCTTTTATTCCTCCATCAAAAATGTTTTGTTTAGTTTTAGGTTTTAGTAAGAGTTTTACAGCACTTGCAACACAATAAGGTCTTACAAGTGCCGAAGAGTAAACGTGTTACAAGAGAGAAAAATACATAAAAAAGGAGAGATAAGGATGATAGATGTTTGATTGGAAAGAAGGAGTAAACCACACCAGAGTACCTGCCAACCACCCACATGTATTATGTGTTGTTGGTACAGATCCAGTGTTATGTAGGCTTTCACCCTTCTAATTTAAAATGTAAATAATATCTTTCATACCCCTCGACTAAGATTGGTATTCAAAAATAAAAACCCACAAATACCTACCAGTGATACCTTCCAACCACCCACAAAACTGAGTGTATCTAATTTTTTAAAAACCAAAACAAACAAATAAACAAAACAAGAAAGTTCAGCAGAAGTGAGAACAAGATAATGAAAGCACCAAGAAGTTTCAAACACACAAGTTAAAAGCTATGTCAAACTTAGATGGAGTTTTGTTTTGGCGCTTGCAACTGCATACGGTCATATGAGCGCGGGACACATTAAACGTCAGTTGGTAGGAAATTTTAAATTTTGCGCGGGTGGCAGCCGAAGCCTACTTTTATCAACTTAGGACCACCACAGGATCCTTAATGTGCGCGACTTACTCACTGGACCTCTGAGATTTTTCTCCCTTATCCGAGAAGGTAAGGTTTTAGTGCCTAAGAACAGGGGTGTGGGCTGAAAGACAGCAGTAAGAAAAGAAAGAGCCAAGAAGTAGCAGTAGAAAGGCTGCAGAAAGGGTCAGGAGCCTAGAGGAGGGGGCAAAGGAGGTGACAAGGTGGGGACAGAAAGTGGAGATGAAAGCAGACGACAGAACATTGTTAGAGAGCAGGAAAGAAGGTGAAAGGAAAACATTTTAGAGAAGAAAATTTTCCATCACTTTCCGGCTTCATACCCGGGACCTATTGAATGAGAGGCAAACACCATAACCTCTCGGCCACGAGAGCCCACTTTTGATGATTTTATAGTCATTGTATTGACAAGACTTACTTGATGGATTCATCACTCTTCCTTTGCTGCTTCTCTCTATTGCAAAGTCACCTGATGATGGAAGCAAATTTTAACTCAGAATAAGTGCAACGAGAAAGGGCAGGGAAGAAAAAAAATAATTTTTCAGCTAAATTTATGGCACTTGCAACATAATATGGTTGTAAGTGCTGAAGATTAGCAGTGGACCAGAGGATAACAAACACAAAAAAGAAGGAGAGATAAGGACGACAGATGTTTAACAGGTAACTCATGAAAACAGCTTAATGTGAATGTTAACTTTGTTCTATCCTGCAAATCTTAACAGGAGTTATTAAGACGTTCCGTTCTAAATAGGAAGGCAAATTATCTGTTGAGGAGTGACTGATCTGTCACAGGCAGTATGAGATATTGATGATCGAGTGAATTTATAAATTCGAAAATGGGTGGGATATCTACCAGTGATGAAGTGACCTTGTGTTTCACATTAGATAGGATAGTGTGTGAACCAATGATGCAGCGGTCACTTACTATTCTGAAATTGCTGCTTATTCCTCCTCAAGACTGATCTGCTTCAGGCAGTGTAAGACAATTGATGATCCAGTGACTCTATGTTAAAATATGGGTGGGATATTTACCAGTGATGAGGTGACCTTCTGTTTTACAATGGATGGTATGTTCACTCTTTCAGGATGAAGTAGACACACTGGCCCGATCAACAGTAAACCAAAAGGTAATGTATCCGTACATTTCGAACCATCATACACAAAAAGGAAACAAATTTACCTTTTTCAAAGTATGTATCTTGTTGCATGCCTTTTAAAGTTTCAAATAAAGAAAACAAAATCATAAAATCTATTTGAATAATGAAATTACGTCTCAAAACAGCATATCTGCCAGCGTTGTTGAATAACCAGAATGTGCATCTTCAATGGATAAACCAATGGTACAGTGGTCACTTAGAGTTCTTAAATGGCTGCTTGTTCCTCCTCAAGACACAGATATGTTACAGGCAGTGTGAGATAATTGATGATCCAGTGACTTTGTGTTCGAAAATGGGTGGGATATTTACCCATGATGAGATGAGCTTCTGTTTCATAATGGACAGGACAGTGTGTTCACAAATGGTGCAGCGGTCATTTACTGTTCTTGTTTTGTTTTGTTTTGGTGTTTTACGGCGCTCGCAACAGCAAAAAGTCATACGAACAAGTTGGACACATTAAACATTGTCAGTTTGGTGGGAGTTAATTTTTTAATTTTGCCCAGGTGGAAGCCAAAGACTGCTCTTATCGATTTTAAACCACAAAAGGATCTTTAATGTGCGCAACTTGCACACAGAACCTCTGAAAAAGTGGAGATGAAAGCAGATAACAGAACATGGTTAGAGAGCAGGAAAGGAGGTGAAAGGAGTAAACTTTAAAGAAGAAAATGTTCTATCCTTGTCAGATTTTGAACCTTGGACCCACTGAATGAGACGTGAACACCTTAACCTCTAGACCACCAGATCCCCCACTTACTGTTCTGAAATGGCTGCTTGTTCCTCCTCAAGACAAAGACGCCTTTCTCCTCCGTGGTTTGCAGGTCAGAGGAGCGGTTGTTGTCCAGTAGCTCTGTGTACTGACCCAGCTGGTGCATGCACTTCTTGACCTGAGGAGACCGCCGGCATCTTGAGAGGTTAGAAACATTGCCTCCTTTCTAATCGCTACCTTAGCATTATAAAGTTCTATCAGACATTTTTTACCATTTTGAGTTACAAAGACATGAGGTCAGAAACCAAGAGTTCTATCTGCTGTATCAAAATCGTAAGATGATTACGAGTCGTTATCAAGATTTCAAAGAATTGATTTCGAAAAAGCTTGGCATGCTGTGAAACTCAAAATTTTTAACATCAAATTTCTCAAAACAAGGTACTGAGCAGATAGAACTTTGTAATTCTTGGGTAGCGTAATGTCATGCTGCTCGGTTATCTGCGTTTAATTATGAAAACACAGCCTTTCAAACATGATCCTGTAGGTCATCGCAGTTGCAGTTTACAAAAGTTTTTGTCTTTCTGAAATCATCCTGCTACATCATCTGTGTCCACATTTTTAGCAATCATTCTAACAGTATGCTGTCAAGCAAACCAAAACATAAATCATGAAAAAACAGTCAGGGAAAAGCTAGTCAAACTTGAGTCAACGCCCAGCGCTGTCTTTCCTTCAAATGCTAACATATCTACCAATAGTGGCACCATATTATGTAAATAAAGGAAAAACAATTCAAAGTAACAGCTATTGCATACAATCCTCTCTTCCACCCTCCATCACTGCCCATTGGCCAACAAATCGTTTCTCCTTTCATTTGAGAGGTATTTTCTATTCACCTGTTGAGCACTGTGGCCCCCGGCCCGAGCCAATGAGATGTTCAGCTGAGTGAAGCAGACAAAGTCAAGAGGAAACCAGTTCCGGGCTGAATCGTAAAGCATGGCCAGACCCTCGCTGCCGCTCTGAGGGGAAAAAAACCCACAAACATAAAAAAAATACACACAAGCACATATTATAACTACATATTAAGTGATACATCGCGGTGAAAACAGACGTTCATCAAAAGAAAGACATCAAATAAAAACAGCATTTTTTCAGCCCACTTGGCAATTTTTATCGAATTTTTGCTATTTTACCTGATTCCTGTTAGGTCCATCAAAAAACACATTTCTGTCCGACTTTTACTGAAAAACACTGATTTCATTATAAAGAATGTAAATTTGCAGTTTCCAAGGACTCTTGAGCCTTGGAAGTCACCAAACTTAGGCAGCCATTTTTTCCACTAATTTTTACATTTAAAACCCAGCAACCCCCACCTCTGTCAACCTGAAATGTGTCAACTTCTAGTCAAGATAGATGGGTATATTTCTTCACCGAAAGCAAAACAAAAGAACAAGGTTTAAGAAGATGAGATTAACTCCACATGCCTAAAAATTGGCGAGCGCCAGATTCCAACTTGTCGTGACACACATATGTATAAATATTCGCACTACATGAACATGGCCAGACCGATTATTTCTCTCTGCCAGAGAAAAACATACACACATAATAAATATACACACACAAAACGCTGTAAACACACACACACTTATGCACACACACTATAAATACCTACAGTTTTTGTTTCGGCCACAGTAGCCCAAATATGCACTTACCCTATTTAGGCTATGTGGCCCATATATTATGGCAACCAACCCCGGATCAACTTACTTAGGCTATGCTATCGCTACCCTGGCCAACATAACCAAACATAAACTCGACCCAGGAGCCTCAAAGGCTTGTAATTCTTTGTCTATAATCTAGATACAGTCTCCTACGTCTTAGCCTCTTAGCGTCACTGCTGCTGGGTAGAATCCATATGCATAATGTGACAGTTCAGACCACTTATGAGACAGAACTGCCTGTTTCCCGAGCTTTAATACTGACAACTGAATTATTTCCAGTAAAATTTGTACATTTTTAGTGTTTTTAACTTCTTCAACCTCCATTGCTCACACTCATAATGGATGAAAGAGAAAATGGTTACAAATAGAAGCAATAAAGTTCAAATGACGTGCCATACTTACTTTTTCCCACATCATGTTTGCAATAAATTCCCACTTGAGGAGCTTCCATGTGATTTTGTAAATTATCTGGGGGGTAAAAAAAAGATTTAATTGCATGAATGATACAGGGCCGGTAGCTCAACAGGTATGGTGTTCTCCTGACAATCCTAGGATGTGAAAATTAAGTATATTTCAGTTTGGTAAAAGTTTTGGGGTTTTTTTTTTGGTAAGTGGCTTACGGCGTTCGCAATTGCATAGGGTCATATGAGTGCATGGGACACATTAAACATTTTCAGTAGGTAGGAAATTTTGAATTTTGCCCAGGTACGGCCAAAGCCTACTCTTACCGAATTTGGACCACCAAGGGATCTTTAATGTGTGCAACTTGTACACAGGAGCTCCGAGATTTTCCGCCCTTCACCGAGAAGGCTATGAGTTAGACCTTACATGCCATAAGATCAGGGATGTGGCTGTAAGACAGCAGTAATAAGGAGCTAAGGAGTAGAAGTAGAAAGGCCGCAGAAAGAGTCAGGAGCCCAGAGGAGGGTAAAAGTAAAATGGCGCTCATAACTGTAAAAACGTCATATGATCAAATGGAATACAAATTGGTTCTATTCACGTCAGTTCACAGTACAGTTTGGTTTTTACTTTGCGAGTCAGAGCGGTTGAAGTGTCTAAAAATACATCGTAAAAATTTCAGTCTTAAAAAACAGTCAGTTTACTTTTTTTTTTTTTAAATAACACTGTCTACATTTGGAATAAAGACAAATGATCTTTATAAAATAGAGAATTCTAATGGGATCAACAATTGAGAACAAAGTCTTTAAATTAGTGCATTTAATTTATTTTCTTTGGGTCTCTCCACAGTCTGGACAAACTATTAGGATATATCTAATCTTAAAGTAAGTGTATGAGTTTCATGCCTCTCTCAATACTATTAGGTTATTTAAGACTTCTCAGGCCGGGTGTACCATGTGACTCACAACACATGTAGCCTCTCATGAGTAAGAAAACATGTACCTCATGACCCCAGATATGTAAACCACAAGACCCAAACTCACAGCACAGGTGCCCTAAGCAGACAAAACCCATTTTTTTTTCCATTCACAGCAGGATCGAGATAAATAGGCTTTTTTTTGTCAGCGTAACCATTTAAAAAACAAGTTCTTCCAAAATTTGAATTTTAACTTGTTCAAAAACTAGTCACAGTATCACTTTGTTTTTTACACACAAGTAGGGTAACACAACACCTATAGAGGCATATCTCTTCTCAGCCATGTGGGGAAAATGTATGCAAAAATCCTAGAGCGACGTACTCCCGCAAAAACCGAACATCTTCTAAGTGACGCCCAATTTGGCTTTAGAAAAGGAAGAGGGTGCACTGATGCAATCTTCGCACTCCGACAACTGTGTGAGAGGGCTTTGGAATACGACAAAGATCACCACCTCGTATTTGTGGATCAAGAAAAAGCCTTTGATCGAGTAAATAGAAACAAGCTATGGAAGATCTTAGAGCAGTACGACATCAAGGGACAACTGCTAGACAACATCAGGGCTATCTATGCCAACAGCAGAAGCGCTGTCCAAACTACCAGTGGAACATCGGACTGGTTTCCAGTAACATCCGGAGTGAGACAGGGCTGCAATCTCTCCCCTCTGCTCTTCGTGATCAACATGGACCAGATAACAAAAGAGGCCAATCCAGACCCAGAGGCACTCAACGAACTCATGTTTGCAGATGACCTGGCAATGATTAACAACAAGACTCAGCTACAGGAGCATATAAACCAACTAAATGCGAGCTGCGAAAAATATGACATGAAGATCAGTATAAGCAAGACCGAAGTCATGACAATTAGCAGGAGACCAGGTAAAGTGGATATCAACATCAATGGATCCCAACTAAAACAAAGCACAGAATTCAAATACTTGGGCAGCATTTTCACAGAAAATGGAAAATTAGATCGAGCGATAGAGACTAGATGCCAGAGAGCCAACGCAGTCAGCTACCAACTGGGCCCTCTCCTGAAACATCCCAATATCCCCATGAGCACCAAGGCGAAGCTCATCAACGCCATTTTCCTTCCAACGCTCACATATCAGTGCCAGACATGGACTCTAACAAAAGCCCTAGAGAGGAAACTGGTCACATGCGAGATGAAATGCTTAAGAAGAGCGGTCAACAAAACAAGAAAAGACAAAATTAAAAATGAAGTCATAAGGGACACCGTGGGAGCAACACCAGTCCTACCACACATTGAAAAACAAAAGGTCAAGTGGTTCGGACACCTCACGCAGATGCCCTCAAACCATCCAGCTCTGAGAGCATACAACATTAAATATTCTGGATGGAGAGCCAGAGGAAGACCAAGGCGACGATGGAGTGAATCTGTGGCAGACACCCTTAAAGATCATGGGATGTCCCTCCTACAGGCCACACAACTTGCTGCAGACAGACACCTGTGTCTCCCCGCGACACCCCAGGGTACAAGCGGAAGAAAAAAGTAAAAGTAAAGTAAAGTAAAGTAGGGTAACTAACTGACCAGGCTTTCAATTTAGCTAACAAAAAAATTTGGAGCCAAAAATGAAAAAAGGCGTTTTTGTCAGCTTACGGCAGAGCAAGTACTACTACACAACCAACATGTGCGCCCAAGACTAAACATTACAGTCCCCACCTCTGTGTTGCCCAGCGAGTCCTCCTGGAAGAAAGCCAGCAGGGCTGACAGGCAGGAGTAGACACAGTAGTGGGCAGTGGAGGCCAGGTCCTGGGGAGGGAAAAATCTCATCTCAAACAGTGATGTACAATACAAAGTCCTTCCAACATTTTTAAAAGGAACAAAGCATTCGTCATGAAAAGAAAAAAGAAGCAAAGTGGGGGCTTGCAGGACAGGATGATTGAGAGAGTGCTTAAGGCCAGAGGTCTAGTGGAGGTCTTGTGAACACATCAGAGAACGTGAAATATTTTATCACGTCATTCTTAAAAAGTCATTAAAACATTTCTATTCATAACAGGTTCATTTATGCATTTGAAATATATTATTTACCTTGGCAAAGATAAAAACCAGTAATAAAAAAAATAGTCAAAGATTGAAAAACAATTTGTAAGAGCTTCATTAGCTATATCTGTCTGGAGCTGAGATAACACACCAATAACAATCCTTCAAAATCATCAAAGCAATAGTTCACCATCCTCACCTCCGCTCACTGTTTCACTGGGTCTGGATTCGGATCAGATCTTTTAAATTGATTTGATGAAAAAATTGCCTACTATACTGTCCAAAACACTGATACTATCAAGTCTGAAACTGTCACTTTTGAAAGCAGTAATCAAAGATTTTAACTGGCTGGACAGACCCAAAACATCAATACTCCATCATCTTTGTAGATCAAAAGTTTACTGAATTTCTAATACTTAAAATAGATTGAAAGTGCACTCAATAAACTTCAAATAACAGAAAGTACACTGAGCAAGTAACTTTGCGATATCAATTCTGAAATTGACAGCCACTGTCTGAAAGGGCGCAAGGCAAAGAAACGAAAGGACACAGTACTTAAGTATTCTTATGTAATGGCTAAATAAATAGTATACACTGGGTGACAACAATTTCATGCCACTCTCTGACAAACTTCTTTTTTTTTTTTACAGTAGAGGGTTCTACGGCACTCGCAACTGCATAAGGTCATATGAGCACCAAAGGGCGGATGTCAACAGAGAAGTCTTTACAGGGAATCAGACTTAGACTGCTCACCTCTCTAGCTTCAACAGCACAAGGTCTGCTTCGATTATCAAGGCACCACAAAATAGCAGGTCACAAGAGAGTGACAAACATACAAAAGAAGTAGAGGAAAATGACAATAGTAAGGATCAGGAAAGAAAAAGCAGCAGTTCCCTGTTGTAGATCAGGCAGTTATGAGCGTGACATGAATCAGCCCATTTACAATTCTACTATGCTTGAACGAGAAATGTTCCCCCTTTGGGAATGGCCTAAAGACACTTCAGTCAGTGGCACTGCCGCGGGGGGTGTCTGACAAACAAAAACACTCACAGGGAAATATGGCACAAAAAATAAAACACACGCACACACACACAGAGAGCCACATACCGACTTCCCAGAGAAAGGTTCCGTCTCCAACAAATCCAGCAACACGTTGAAGACTCCCAGCTGTAGCGCCAGGTTGCCCATAATGTGGGCCCGACTCAGTGCTTTTGCTGCCGTTCCACCGGACTCCCCTCCCGCCCCAGACGCCTCCTTACACTGCTCTACCTCTGCGTTTATGTACAGAAGGATAGCACAGCCCAGTAAGATGGGGGAGTGCACGGGTTCGGAGCCTATCATGGACACGGCTTTATCAAGTTTCTGAGAAAGACAGTTAAAGAATAAAATAGGAAATCCTCTTGATAACAGTCCTGAGTCATTCAGTGCCTGGAAAAAGCTAGACAGACAGAAGCAACAGAGGGAAAGAATAGAGGTATGACGTACCAATGGCGCCCTCCAACCACAAACAAGATTTTGGATGAAAGAACCAATGGATGCATCAAAGAATGAATAAATGAAGGAATGAGAGAGAGAGAATGCTTTAAGGAGCATGGTTGTTTCAGCAAGTCTAATGCGTATTCATTAATGTCCTGCCTCGTGTGTATGTGTGAGTGCATCTAGCCTTTGTAACATACACTGCCATTGTAAATAACCAAGACAAATTTCTCCCTGTGAGATGAATAAAGATTGTCATTGTCGTTGTCATGAATTTCAAAAATGAAAGTAAGGGAAAAAGCACATTAAAAAAAGGTAAAAATGTAGAACAAGCAGAGTTTTTAAGCTAATGCTCACACATAGACACTGAACTAGTCCTCTCAAAGCACAGCACCTGAACTTACAAACCACCCGAGGGGAAATAAGTCAGTCATACAAACAGAAATTCTGACCCCCCTCCACCAGATAAAAAAAAAAGAAACCGTTCAAAGCTAGGATCTCAACAACTTGTAGTTTAATTTCTTCAGACTCCTTACTCCTTTCTTCGCGGCATTGAACAAAACAAAAGTCTAAGAATAAGACAAATAATAATTGACGGCAATGAACATAAATCTTTCAAAACCCTCATCAAATAATTTAGCACTATTAGGAGGCAGGCTACTTTGGACCTGCATATCAGGGCCAACCCTGCCAGAATGGGATACAGCATGCCAGCAGACTAAAGGAGATGGTTAATAAAATTACTTCCCCACTTGGAAATCAAACACATTTTTACATGCAGCAGTGAAGGGCCAAACCAACCCATCTGAGACACGAGTCAAGTCAAAAGGACGAAACTATAATCATTTTGTTTGGCAAACAACATGCCACTAAATGTGTGTACTTACCTCAAGGTTGGCAGAATCACACAAGATGACATGGTCTGACAGGCTGGGGAATAGAATAATGACAGGACCAGTTCTAAGCCCTTTACAACAGTTCACACAATCCCACAAACATAGGTCTACAGTTATTACAATTATCCCAAATGAGGAGAAAAATACTGAGAACTATCTTGAAGCAAACGTTCATAACACCACATTCAACAATTTATTAGACTTACAAAACATAATTACCTCAACTTTCAATCCCTCATATCAACAACTTGAGTCTTCATACAATTCCCACAAATGTCTCAGACAATACCTATAAAGTTGACACAAGATAAAAGGGAATTTAAAAAAAAAAGAATATGCCAAAGTACTGTTGCCGTATGGCGTATTCTTTAGTTTTTTTTTACTTCCCTTCTATCTTACTATTGTTGCTGTTGTAAAATAAAAAAAAGAAACTCCGTATGCCCAAGCATTAAAGGATGTGTAAAAAAACATTTGAGCTACTAATTTGTCATGCTCCACTTGATTCTCCATCCTCTTTGACCAAAAACTTCCATTACAATAAAACACTTACTTGTTTTCCTCTTTAGCAGTCAGAGCGTTCATAATGTCAAGTCCTTCTAGCAGGACTAAAATTTCCAAGAACCTGTAGACACAAAAATAATTCTGATCACAATTTGTTCAAGACTGGTCACCTACTGCACCCTTTTCTATTATTTGAGCTCTAGAGAAGCTCATCGATGACAATAATGCTTTTCTAAATTATTGAAACTTTTTTCAGCCCCCCATCAACACAATAATTCTCATTTATGAGGCAGGCTGCCGCAACCCTGCCTGACAGAGTCATTCGGGCTGAGTGGGATACAGCATCCCAGCTGACAGAAGGTAGATGCTCCATAAAACAACTACCCTACTCCGGAACCAAGCTCACTTCTTTTGTAAGCAACAGTGGAAAGCCTAACAATTACATCACACACAGTCCAGCTATTACAAAGTTTGAAAAAAAAAAGGAGCCAGACAGACAGACAGATGCCACCAAGGGAAAGAAGGGAGGCAAAAGATACAAATGATGTGTTGCTCTCATTCACTGTATTTTCCTAAAGGAAAGCATTTGTTGTAAAATTTATATACCCATCACAAGCATGGCATTGAAAGCAGACTCCAAAAACCTTAAGTGAGTCAAGAAAATGAGGAAAAAGAAGAGATTAGAAAAAACTTGTAACTCCTCAAGGACAGCTTTCGTGAACACTTCAAAAATGAAAGATCTATCCACAACACAGCCTTACATCTGCAGCATATAGAGTCGAAGTTCTCTTAATTGTCCAGCCATTGTCAAGGAGGAAAAGCAGCCATCATAGACAGGTGGGCGACATCATACACAGTGTCATTACAATGTTAAAAATTGCAAGTTGGAAATAGAAAGTGGCTGTTTGTACAGGTGATTGTCAAATACATGTGGCTGTGAGAGCAGGTTCAACTGTATTATTCAGTGCTTCCACCAGCTGAAGCTGAAAAGTAAGGAAAATTCTGCGGGGAGTCTGGGGGCCGCAAAGGCCCCCAGCAGGGTACAGGGACAGAGTCCCAGTGGGGGTTCAGGAGGCGAAGCCCCTGAAGAAATTGAAATTTAGTGCTATTAGAGGGTTAAAAATGGCAATTGGGAGCCTGTTTGAAGAGAATGCCTGCAACCCATAACATTTATTAATTCCCCAATATTTTGACTTGTTTGATTTTTTCACCTACATATCTTTCCATTGCTGGCAATGTTTAAAAGCAGGTTCCCCTTCCATTGCTACTATAATTCAATTAATTTTTCATTGCACGATTGATAGAAGGCAAACCTGGGTATAATGAAAAGATATGCATCTTCACAATACAGTTACCCAGGGTATACCTTAATTTTCCACAATTTTCACTTCTGAATGTTGCATGTCACAACCTCGGAACACCACTTCAAATTAGATCTATTCTTGATTTTAGTAGATTTAGCATAAAAAGATCACAAGTCAATTTACTTGATCAACGCCCATATTTTGATAAGCCGCAGCAACAATCCGAAGATAGACAGACGGAATGAGTGAATGATAAAAAGGAGGAAATTGACACAAAAAGTTTACCAGATTTTCATCAATCTGCAGGTAAAAATGTACTGCCGACCAACCCGCAAAGAACGCATGAGGCATAGCGGAATAATGGCGGATTGCAGAAAATGATCAATCTGGCAGGTCTCTATAACATTAACTTATTGCCGAGAGAATTACCGTAAATATCCGTAGCTTATACAAGACGATACGAAGAATTTTAGTAGAAATCTAGTTCAATGTTGTCGCAGTTTTTTTTACGAAGAGAATAGATAATGATGGAGGAACAAGTACAGAACTGGCAGAAAGTATGGATTTCCGTAAAAATACGGAAGAGTGGAAGCACCGATTATCAACTGTATTATTATCATTTTCTACACGTCAGCAAAGATCAACAAATTTTTACCCAAAAAAAACGAAAAAAAAAGGGGGTGGGAGAAATACTCAACGCCTATTTATTTATCCCAGCAACTAAAAAAAAAAAAATTCTAAAATAGACATCTCCAAGCATCCCTTTACCATCTCTATCACACGACACAAAATCAAATAGCTAAAAGCACATTAAACTAAATTCTTAAAGCACATACTCATACGTACCCAATTCTGAGCACCAGTTTCTCCATATGTATATCAATAAGATGCTTGTAGTCTTGTCCCCAGCCAAAGCCATGTTTCTGCCAAAGAAATAAATTAGTGAACATTACGCATAAAAGTTACAAATGATGTTAACAGAAACAGATAAACCTTTTTATTTTTTTTGTTTTAGTAGAGATTTTACTTATACTACTAGAGATTTTACGGCGCTCGCAGCAGCATAAGGTAATATGAGCGCCAAGGTTTGGATGTCAAAAGGGAAGTCCTTACAGGGAATCAGGCTCACTTTGCCCACTTCTCTAGCTTCAACAGCACGAAGTCTGCTTCGACTATCAAGGCACCCAGGAAATAGCAGGTCACAAGAGTGTGACAAACATACAAAAGAAGTAGAGGAAAATAAATTAGTGAACATTACGCATAAAAGTTACAAATGATGTTAACAGAAACAGATAAACCTTTTTATTTTTTTTGTTTTAGTAGAGATTTTACTTATACTACTAGAGATTTTACGGCGCTCGCAGCAGCATAAGGTAATATGAGCGCCAAGGTTTGGATGTCAAAAGGGAAGTCCTTACAGGGAATCAGGCTCACTTTGCCCACTTCTCTAGCTTCAACAGCATGAAGTCTGCTTCGACTATCAAGGCACCCAGGAAATAGCGGGTCACAAGAGTGTGACAAACATACAAAAGAAGTAGAGGAAAATGACGATAGTAAGGATTAGGAAAGAAAAAGCAGAAGTTCCCTGTTGCTGTTCAGGCACAGTTATGAACATGACATTGATGAATCAGCCCATTTACAATTCTACTGTGCATAAGAACATGTTAATATCCCCTCTTTGGGAAAGGCCTAAAGACACTTCAGTCAGTAGCACCGCCCCACGGGGTAAAACCTTTCTAACAAAGTAAACACAGCATACAGACAGTCTCTCTTCCCACATCACTTCCAAAAGTAAAAGGAGCAGACAAAAGTAAAGGTGTTTGTTTTTTTATTTTAAGCCTTCAAAAATTTATCTTTAATAAACTTGATTCGAGTAGAACCCTTTAAATCCCCCCCCACACACACACACAAACACATGTGTGTAAAAGATAATGAATAGGAGACCACACTCACTCTTTGCCTTGGAGAGAATCACACTCAAACTGCAGCTAAGTGACCACTCCTTTTCAAAGTCCTTGAGGTGAATCATTGCTTTCCTATCTGTCTTTGTTTACATTTTTAGTGCGCATTTATTTAGACGGCTCTTCCTTCTCACAATACCTCCTACAACAATAACAGCAGTGGGCAAATGTAAAGTCCTCGTAGCAGAAGCAGACATTTACGTTAGTGAGAGCAGGTTCAACTGTATTATCATCATGTTCTACACCAGTTGGCAAAGTTGCAATTTTTTATCCCCCCACCCCCTCAAAAAAAAAGTGTGGGGGGGTAAATATACTAATATACTATAATGCCCGTTTATCCTTGTGACTAAAATGATAAAACTCTAATATGGATATTTGCAAGCATCTCGTTAGTGTGTGAGTGTGTGAGTGTGTGTGTGTGTGTGTGTGCGCATGCGTGCTTGTGCCTGTACATGCGTGTGTCCATCCACTCACCTTAAAGCGTACACACAGCTTCAGTAAGGTTGTCACATCCATCTCAAAGTCCTTGTAGTAGATCACCAGCAATTCCAGCAGCTCTGCCTGCTCTTTGAGGTTCTGCATGGCCCAAGCGTTCACTTGGGCACGACCCTAAGGGGGGGGGGGGGAGGAGATAGTTTTAGTAAGAGTTTTGCAGCGCTTTTAACACAATAAGGTCATATAAGTGCTGAAGATTAAAAGTGTCACAAGTGAGTAACAAACACAAGAAAGGAGGAGAGACAAGGATGATAGATGTTCGATAGGAAAGAAGGCACAAATCACACCAGAGCACCTGCCAACCACCCGTGGGCAGGAGATAGAAGACCTCTTAATTTGAGTGAAAAGAAGCACATTGACAGGGTAATGGTTATTTAGTCTTGGGGGAAAAATAGGACTGAGACAGAATTAAAAAAGTGAAAGACAGGAAGTAGGACCTTACAGTGGCACCTTCCAGCCACCGGCAAAGAGGACATTTAGGCACTGAATAATATCTTAGGTGAACAACATCACCAACAACTAAAAAAATGTCAATTCAGCTATAACATTAACAAATTAATTCACAAACAAAAATTGTTTCATTCTATGCAATTCACTATATAAAAAGTGAAGAAAAGAAAACAACAGGATTGAACAAGAAGGAAATACAGACGCCGTATACAGACAAAAGGTTAAAAAACAAAACATATGAGACTCACCATAAGAGGGCCGTTCAGCTCTTTTGTGGGCAGGGGAGCATTGCAAGCAGCGTCAAACTGGTCTATCAGCTGACACATTGAAACAACAAAATAAATTGTCTGTTAGTCTATCAGAAACTAATGCTATTACAATTTATGTATTAAACTTTTAGCATAAGAGAGTACATGCAACTTTTTATTTTCACTTTTTTTCTCGAGCTGGCCCACTGTGCACACTATAACTTTCATTTAAAAAAAAGAAAACAGCAGCAATCTGTTTTTTCCTTCATCTGTAGTTGACTATACAAAAAATATAGCAAGATCATCTGCAAAAGTTTAGATCTTCAAGTTGTGTCCAAAATGTCCACTGGATTCCCATCTTTCTGTGTTCATCTTGATTCCTTTGTTCCTTGTCTTAAATGAAGCTGTTATATGTCTTGGTCCATGCCCCTCCCATGAAATGAGGCCTTTTCTGGCTGGTCCAAATAACACTAACCTGATTGCCATGTCACTCTCCCTGTGTGTGCTCAGCCGTCATCCATACGTCCTGAATATATAGAATAACTTCCCCCATAGACAATCTGCGCTGTCCTGATTGGTTCTATCAGTCATCTATATATTATATTTGTGAAAGTTCATCTATTTGGTCGCCTAAAACTTCCGAACCACTTAACTTTCGAATTTTAAAAAAAATTAACGGTGGTTCAGAATCATTTAAAGGGTGCACAGTTACACTAAGGAGTCCGAAGTAACCGTAGTTTTATTTTCAGTTTTTCATTAGTTTTGTTTAGATCTTATCTTGGGAAAGTCAGTCTTCTAAGACGCCATCGTTAACAAGTGAGGTCTCTGTTCACAAGCAGTGTGCACTGTTTCCACAATGACTTGACGATCAATTCTTTTGTGTCCATTCATTGAATGGGTATCCAGCTAGCTCAAAATATGTTTGATCTTCAGGACCTACCAAGAGAAATTCTATGAAGATAACTAGAACTCTTAGACAGAGATTTTTAGAATAATCCTCTGACCCTCTAAAAAGGAAATTACACTGACCTTTTCACCTAGAAGGCTTTTCTCCAACAACTCATTCAGAAACTTGGCAAAGACATCCTGCAGCAGCCATGAAAAGAAGAAGACAAAGTCGCAAACAATTACTATACAAATCAAGCTTCTAGGAAAAAATACAAAGAGAACACTACAAGACTTACCAAACTGATCTTTTAAATGACCTAAACCAGAGGTGCCCAACATGCTTTTGATGGAGAAACCATGGTTTAAAATTAAAACTAAAAGAAGAAAGAAAAGCTAAACACTAAATTTTAATATCTAAGAATCAGACAAGCAAAATTGAAAAATCTCAGTTTTGGTCTTGAGTGAGGCATGCAATACCTAAAGCAGAACGGTTCACCTCAGCGAGCAAACAGACCAGAGAGAACCACTGCACTTACTTTGTAGGCATGTTCCCCTTCAAACCAGCAGTGCAAGATATGTCGCAGACTGCGCAGAATGTAGAGGCGCTCTCCATAGTAGAAGTCAACTACTTTAAGCAGTAGCGTCTGGGAATGCCGCTCGTGGGTGAGAATATTCTGAAAAAAGAAGGATCAAAATCATATCAACAATCACACTTATTGTACATGTAAAATTGCGTTTAGGGAGGGAGAGAAGGGGGACTGGTAGTGCGTCAGAGTGACAGAAAGGAGGAGAGAGAGAACGAGTGCAGAAATATATAGAGAAGAGTGAGAGAGAGCAAAAGAGACATGGGGGCTCTCGTGGTCTAGAGGTTAAAGTGTTCACCTTTCATTTAAAGGTCCCAGGTTTGAATAAAGGGTAGTCACGGAAAAATTTTTCGATCTAAAATTGTCTCCTTTCCACTCCTTTCCTTCTCTCTTTAAATGTTCTGTCGTCTGCTTTTGTCTCCACTTTCTGCCCCCACCCCCTCCCCTCCTTTGCCCCCTACTCTTTCTGCAGCCTTTCTACTGCTTCTCCTTGGCTCCTTCTTACTGCTGTCTTTCAGCCACACCCGCGATCTTCTGATAAGAAAGATCTACACCTAGCCTTCTTGGACTAGGGCGAAAAATCTCGGAGGTCCCGTGTGCAAGCTGAGCACGCTAAAGATCCCTTGGTGGTCTAAAATCGATAAGAGTAGGCTTTGGCTGCCACCCACGCAAAATTCAAAATTTCCTACCAACTGAAAATGTTTAATATGTCCTACACTCATATGACCTTATGCAGTTGCGAGTGCCGTAAAAATTCTTACTAATACACTCATATGACCTTATGCAGTTGCGAGTGCCGTAAAACACTTACACCCCCCCCCCCCCCCCAAAAAAAAAGGAAACAGACAAAAAGATAGAAACAGGCATATAAAGAGATCTACTTATAACTGCATCAGTACGTTTCATTTTTTTCTTGACATCAATAAAACTTTTATCTCAATTTAACAGCATCAGTCAGAGACATTGCCAAAATTAGTGTGGTGACCAACCAGCCGCACTTTATCCACTGAAGCAGGCACTTGATACAATGACTCATCATGTAGCATTTAAATTTTTAAAATACTACCACACTATGTAAGTTTCCCATAACCATGATGATCACAAGCTTTAGATCAGTAGAACAGCACTTGCTCTTCACCAATCACGATCGGACAAGGACTCAAAATAGAAATAAAAAACACAGGGAAGAGAATGACCTCGGAACATTACAATCACCAGCCTCCTCTCCATTATTAACCTCTCACAACCCTCAGACACCACAAGCCAAAAGAGCAGGCCTCAAACAACAATTCTGCAACATACATTCCAGTAGTTAACCACTGCACAAATTTCACCGATAGCAATAAGTGAATAACAAACTTTCCCAAAAAGAGAAAAAAACAAAACTTACTGTGAGCTCTTTTTGAGAGCCACGAAACTCTGTGAAAAGGAAAGAGCAGAACAAGTCATGGCTCTGAAGTTCATCCAAACCCTGGGAAAGATAAAAACAGTAACAGTGTCATAATTGCCGTCATTATTATCATTACTTTATTTCTATTGCAGAAAATATTGCTACCTAAAGAGTTAAATTTTATAGAGTTCAATTTTATTTGCCACTCACAATCTAATTGTTAGAAAGTGAGAGTAAAAGTGTGTGTGAGCAGTGGTAAAATTGAACTCACCAACAACTGACTCAGCCTGATGACAAACTCTCTGTGTGTAGCCTTCAGCTTCCGCTCCTTCTTCAGAGCTTCTCCTTGTGGGGTGCTGGAAAAAAGTCATAAAGAAACTTCACAATCATTAAGTTAAAACAGAGAAGGTAAACTGAAAGAATAAGCAGGCCGAAAGAGACATTAAGAAGTCATGTGAGCTTTATTGCTTTAAATTGCACGGAGCACACAATACATGTATAATTAGAATTTGATTTTACCTTTGCATTTCAACTTTTCAATACTATTTGTGTAACAGCGCAGTGAAATTAAGCACTAGTCAATTTTGGGGCATCTGGAGTTATTGGTATACTTCCCGGGAAGCTGAGAATGTTTCGGAGTGCTCTATGGTCTGCTGGGGTAATAATATAGTGTAAAGCGCATAGAGCCTGCTGTTGAGCGGGGATATGCGCTATACAAATGTTATCTATTATTATTATTATTATTATTATTAATGGTATCACCTTAAAACTTGTTCTTTTGTCTTGACTTGTTTTAAAAAGTACCCAGCTATCTCGAATAGAAGTTGAGATATTTGCAATTGAAGGAGGTGGTGGTTACCTGGTTATAAGAGGTAAATTTGCTAGAAAATGGCAGCCAAAGATTGGTGACTTCGAAAGTATGGGTGTCCATGGAAACTGCAAATTTACTTCTTTTTTTTTCGCCTTTCATCAACATTTTTCAGTACAATCCATACAGAAAAGGGTTTTTATATTGACATAAAAGGTGTTAAGCCAAACAAAAAAATTGTGCCCTATAGACAGAAAAATTGCAGTTCCTTCCATTTCATTATTCTGACAAGCGTATGATTTCACCACGATGCCATACATGTATATATTTAAGCTAAACAACCCATTAAAACAGTGGGCATGACAGTAGGACTAGGACCCATTACCTTTTATTTATATTACTTTTTATTATAAAGATTTCTCGCCAACGCTATACAATTTTTCTCCTCAAATTTCCCCTATAAGTTAGAAAGAAAGACTACAAAGCACATACCTTTGCTTTTTGTAGAAAGAAAATCCTTGTAAAAGTTTCTCTTTGTTCTTGTTGAGTTCCCTCTCAATATACTCCTGAGGGGAAGATTGTTCAAAATACCGAGGTAAATGTTAGGGTCATAAAACAGTACTGCCCAACAAAAACTTTCAAAATAAAAACTGAGTTACCATGAAGGGAAATATACAGGAAAATCATTGTGACAGTGTCAGTAAACAAAACGACAGACATTTTTAAAGCAAATCACAATAAAAAGATTAAGAAATCAATAAAGCACAAACTGAAGGCCAGCAAAATAATGAAGTTATTCTTTTCAACAGACATCTAAACATGTAAGAGTTTTATTTTCACATCAAAACTGCTTGATTGAAAGAAAAAAAGAAAAGAAAAAAAAGGGAAAAAAAGAAAAAGAAAAAGAAAAAAAAATTTAATTGTGTAGTGTACCTGTGGACGAAGGCAACCTGTGCCACTGATGACCTGCCACAGCTGTCTGTTGCCAAAACTGTAAAAATAAAGAGATACATGTATGTAAAACAAACATTTGGTTTAGTTAAAAAAAAAAAAATAATAGATAGCATTTGTATAGCACAAATTCCCACTCAACAGCATGCTCTCTATGCAATTTACAATCTACATTATAATTACCTCAGCAGACCTAATAGCAGAATGACAGTGGCAAGTCGCTAGGAAACGGGTAAAGCACTGTGCAACTGCCACATATCGCTGTATGGTTTAAGGAAGAGTTGTACGGTGAAGTATGACGATGAATTGGTTATATGTTTCATCCAGACACTGGGGCTGTATTGCTCAGGTCCGAGATACTGGATGTGAGTCCTACTGTGAATTCTGAGTTGTAATTTCCTGTGCTGTTTGAATAAAGTGTTGTTCGCTGACGGTTTTTTTGGTTTTGAAAGGTCTTGTTGGTTTTAGAGGAATCTAATATTGTGAGAAAGCTCAAACAGCAGAGCTGGGGTTTAAAAGGTGACTGCCTGGCCCCAGGAATTTTTTAAATAATAAAGTTGATGAGAACAACTCGGGACAGTCAGATTTTCTACGTCACTACATCCTTTGCTCCCTCCATCCTTTCGGAAATCGGTAACACATGCCTAACGTGCTCTCAAGTCTTCTGCTGATGCCACTCCTTGGTCTACCTTGAAGCCCATCTAGCCAAAGCTGTGGAGTTTTTCAGTTTAAAAATTTGGGATGAAACCAGTATTGGCCACAACGATAGGCTGTAGATCTAGATCTCTCCAGGCTGCTATAGACCTAGAGAGGACTATAGTATAGTATAGAGGCCTACACTACCACACTACACCTTTATTTAGTGAAATCCTACACCTTATATCCTAACCCTAACCCATAATTTAAGTCACTAGACTATTGACATTTCATAAAACTCTGGGTAAGAGCCTTGACTTGGGGCCAAAACCAGAGATTGCCAAAGAGTAAAGTTTTCAAGCGGTTTTTTAACTCATTCGCTACGCCGAGCCACGGGGGCGGCGCGGCTAAAGTGCCTTCAGTACGCTAAGCCGCTCCCGGCGGCTCGAGAACCGATCTTCAATTTTAGCTTAAAAGATTCTATTCCAATCCACATATCCATGTTAAAATAAAGGTCATAATATAATGTTGACTTCCGGGTCAAGCGTTTCCACCGAAAATCGGAAGTTTTGATTCAGTTTCGAAACACAATTTCAAAGTTTATGTAACTTTGTTTAATCGCGATGCTCAAATTATAGCCCAGACCCCAGTCTTACTACTTTTACACAACAAAATATATCATTATTTAGCACACTAAAGAAATGTAGGACTCTTCTTTAGAAAATTGATACAATTGGGCTCAAATTGCCAAATGTTGCTCTATTATTGAGAAATATCAATATTTTTCAGTGCTAGATCTAAATTGTCAAATTATTTTTTTCTCCCAAAAATCACTATTTTTTGGGTGAAATTACACAAAAATACCACTCAAGACATGTGTAGGTTTATTCCAAATGCAATTATGAATAATTCCATATATGATACAACGAGTGTTTTTTTCTGTTTGTGAACGCATCTTGTCCATTTTTCAAGAGACAGAGATAGAGAAGAAGGGAGGAGTAGATCTTGCGAGAACTTCCGGGCAAAACAAAATGGTGACCTGCGTAGTTCGGCTCCATTCAAAAAGTGAAATAGCCATGCATCTTTGTAGACGATCAAATTAGCCTGCTTTTGAGCTATATCGTAATTTTGTCTTTGCTTTTATCCATTTGGTCATCCACACCGATAGAAAGTATTCCGAAATTAGGAAAAACAGGTCTTGTTTCACACCGGGTGAGAATAGCCAACGGTGGCAAGTCTCACCCAGGGTGAGAGGTCGATCGTTTCTTTATGGAAGTGACTATTCTCACCCGAGGTGAGAATAAAAATACGATCTACCTCTCACCCCGGGTGAGAGTTGCCAGCGTAGGCTATTCTCACCCAGAGCGGTGAAGACCTGTTTTTCCTCATTTTGGAATACTGTCTATCGGTGTGGATGATCAAATTGACAAAAGCCAAGAAAAAATTACGTTATAGCACAAAAGTAAGCTAATTTGATCGTCTTCAAAGATGCTATGGCTATTTCACTTTTCGAATCGAGCCGAACTACGCGGGTCGCCATTTTGTTTTGCCCGGAAGTTCTCGCAAGATCTACTCCTCCCCCCCCTCTCTCTCTGTCTCTTTCTGAATACTGTCTATCGGTGTGGACGATCAAATTGACCAAAACAAAGTTAAAAAATGATGTTAGTTCTACGTGTCGTTATCAATAACCCTTCATAGATCTAGACAGCACTCGAGTGAACACAACGCATTAAGTTTAAGAGCAGCATCCTTCATAGGCAACACGTCATATCTGTAGCGAAAACTACACTGTTTGGAACTGTAGCATTTCTTTATAAAAATATTTACTGCTGACATTTTTTGGACCGATTGAACCATTGTATACGAACAATCTTTGGTAGATCTAGGCCTATAATATAATTATAGATCTAGATCTATATATCCGAAATTTGAGTGAAAGGATCTGATTTCAGAGTGTTCGGAGAAATAGTGTCCAGCTTTATTTTCCCGAACGTTCGGAGAAATAGTGCCCATCTTTATTTTCCCGAACATTCGGAGAAATAGTGCCTGCCTTTTTTTATTCTCACCCCGGGTGAGGATGGAAGTGGCTATTCTCACCCTGGGTGAGAATAGAAATACGATCGACCTCTCACCCCGGGTGAGACTTGCCACCGTAGGCTATTCTCACCCAGTGTGAAACAAGAACTGTTTTTCCTAATTTCGGAATTATACTTTCTATCGATGTGGATGATCAAATGGATAAAGGCAAAGAAAAGATTACGTTATAGCACAAAAGTAAGCTAATTTTATCGACTACAAAGATGCTATGGCTATTTCATTTTTCGATTCGAGCCGAACTACCAGGGTCGCCATTTTGTTTTGCCCGGAAGTTCTCGCAAGATCTACTCCTCCCCTCTTCTCTCTCTTTCTGGATACTGTCTATCGCTGTGGACGATCAAATTGACCAAAACAAAGTTAAAAAATGATGTTAAAACACAAAAGTAAATTAATTTGGTCGTCTACAAAGATGCTACGGCTTTAATTTTTCAAATCGAGCAGAACTACGCGGGTCACCATTTTGTTTTGCCAGGAAGTTCTCGCGCTACTCCTCTCTCTCTCTCTACTTTCTCTCTCTCTCTCTCCTCTCTCTCTCCACTGCCCAACAGACAAAATTGTACGCTTTTACTATGGCCACCTCTATTCTCACCCGGAGTGAGAATAGTGCAGGCGAGTCTTGTGGCTATTCTCACCCGGTGCGCGTTCACCAAATTTTGCGTTCACCCTAAACCACAGAATTCTACACTGTGATAACAGAAAAATTGTAGAATTCTGTGCCGTGAACAAACGTTCCATTACAACTGTAGCCTACTAAAAGCGTACAATTTTGTCTGTGGGCAGTGGAGAGAGAGAGAGAAAGATAGAGAGGAGTAGCGCGAGAATTTCCAGGCAAAACAAAATGGCAACCCGCGTAGTTCGGCTCGATTCGAAAAGTTAAATAGCCGTAGCATCTTTGTAGACAAACCAAATTAATTTACTTTTGTGTTTTAACATCATTTTTTAACTTTGTTTTGGTCAATTTGATCGTCCACACCGATGGACAGTATTCAGAAAGAGACAGAGAGAGAGAGAGAAGAGGGGAGGAGTTGATCTTGCGAGAACTTCCGGGCGGGTGAGAATAGCCACTTTCTTTACTATTTAGAATAGTAGGCTAACAGTAGTAGTAATGGAAAGTTTGTTCACGGCACAGAATTCTACAATTTTTCTGTTATCAAAGTGTAGAATTCTGTGGTTTAGGGTGAACGCAAAATTGGTTGGCCTAGAATCTAGATCTAGATCATCTAGATTCTAGATCTAGATCTAGATCTAGGCTATAACGGTGAACACGCGCACCGGGTGAGAATAGCCAAAAAAGACTCGCCTGCACTATTCTCACCCGGGGTGATGGCTGAATTGAAAATAAAATTTCAGTTTGCAATACTTAAAGTATTTAGATCTAATATCTAGATCTAAATCTAGTATTTCAGACGAAACTAAAAGGTGCCTACACATGACATACTACGACTACGGGAGACTACGGTGTTGCGATGTTGTGTTTACAGTTCGCCATGCCGGCAAACTTCAAATCAATGACTGCTGGTGGGCTGTTCACTGGATTAAGAGAGCATGAATCGACGGTGTAGGAGCAATAGATATTCAGGCTAATATGCTGAATTCGAGACCAGGAACCCCCCCCCCCCCCCCCCACCCCAAATGAAAACAAAATCTAAAAGCAAATAACTAGACTAAGATACTCACCTGTCTGCTGTGGGCCCCGCCATCTTTAAACATTGTATTGTCCCCCAAGTACTTCCGGTACACCATTCCTAGTCTCAGTCGTATTTGAATTTCGCAGTATTGAGATTCGCTAGATAATTTCATTTTTAAAAAACGTATTTATTTGTTGTAAAACAGCCTGACGCTACTACACTCTGTTAACCAGCCCTCACCATAATCGTTTAAAGCATTTGAATAAGGAACAAAAAAGTACCTCAGTGGAAATGTGTATCGAACGAACTATAAACAAAGTCGGGTGCATAGATAGCCTACTTTATTTGTGAAATATAGATCTGCTTTTCGATCGTCGATGGGCGAATTTAAATTCATTAAGAATAACAGATGATATTTAAATTATTATTAGGTCCTATACCCTGTTCACTTTCATCTGACCGGGGTTTAAACAAGATGAAAATCGACTCGTTCTGTTTATTCTTCTCAGACCTCTGAATGTGGGTTTAAAAGTTGGATGACCAACAGAATCTAAAAGTCCATTCAAAACATTTTTGTCAGCATAATAAACAAACTCAAGCAGACTGCCTTGACGACGTCCATCAAAGACTTAAAAATGCATTAATCTCTTTTTAAAAAAAATCAAAAACCATGTTATGGAAGTCAAAGATCATTTCACTGAAGACGAAATTAAATATTTTGTCTGAATTGACGTAAGCCTTCTTCTGGGAAACAGACTCAATCCCCCTCGTGGCTACATCCTAAAGACGGTGAAACGTTCATCACGACTACAGCCAGTTAATCGAGAGTGTCTCACGTTCCTTCTCGCCTTGTCTCCCGGCGAACGAGCGACAATTTTTTAGATCCGAGACATCATGGAGCGGCACACCCTCGAGACTCGAGCACACTCAATGGCGTTGAGCGCATCTTCTGCAAGTTCTTCCTCGCCGTCTGGGACGACAGATGCCTCATGATAATTTTCCGACAGTTCTTCCTCATCGTTAGGGACGAGAGGCGCTTCCAGTGATTCTTCTGCAAGTACTTCCTCGCAGTCAGACACGACAGGTTCTACGCCACAACACCCCAGTCCTTGCTCCTCCACACCGGAGGAAACAGACAACATGATCCTCGTGCTGACCGGAGAGAGTTGTGAACAGGACCCAGCTCACACTCTGTTTTCTCCAAGCTACTTCGCTGAGATGTACGCGTCTGATCTACACAACGATCCCCTCACGCTCCACCCAGCCGCTACAACTGGGAACCCGATACCGATGCTCAACGTCTCGCCGAGGCCCGATCCCTCTCCAAGAGACCTGTGGAACCCAAGCATCTCCTACGTAGGGCCGGGACTCCTCCGTCACAAGGTTGAAAAGAATACTGGGGAAATCATAGAGTTCCCTGAACAATGTCTTTTGGGTCAAACCATCGACGCACGACCGACCCCCCTCCTCCCAACTCGGCATTCGGACCACGCTCCCACCACGGACCTCCTCTGACTACCCCTCACCGCTTGACACAACGGAAAAACTCTACTTCTTAAAAGAAGACAAAGAACAGACCCCTGGGACCAAAGAAAATACAGTCCTTTTTTCTGGGCTACCATGAAACCAGTCCTTTTCGGGCTACTATAAGAAGACCAAACAGTCCTTTTCAGGGCTACCAGAAAACTAAACAGACCTTTTCAGGGCTACCAGAATACTAAACAGTCCTTTTCAGAACCACCAGAAAACTAAAAATTCCTTTTCAGTGCTATCGAAAAACTAAACAGTCTTTTTCAGGGGCTGCCAGAAAACTAAACAGTCCTTTCTGGGCTACCAGAGAACTAAGCAGTCCTTTTTAGGACTACAAATAAAAATAGTGAAAAAAAGCAGAATCTGTCCTTTTCAGGGCTACCAAATATCCTCAGTGACTTAGGGCAATTTGAAGAAATTTTTAAGAAGAAACTTAAAACTTTTCTATTTTCATCATATTTCGATTAGACAGAATCCAGCCAAGCTGTGGATCGTCGTCAGTTTGTGTGTGCGTATGTACGCATGTGTGTATGTATGTGTGTGTGCATGTGTGTGCATGAGTGCGTGAATATGTGTGTGCTCACGTATGTACACTATGTGTCTTTAAAATTGATTTGTAAATCCATACATGTAATATGTATCATGTTAAGCGCATAGAGCATTGCATTAGTGGATATGCGCTATATAAATGCCATCCGTTATTATGTATGTATGTATGTATGTATGTATGTATGTATGTATGTATGTATGTATGTATGTATGTATGTATGTATGTATGTATGTATGTATGTATGT